TTATATTTCTTCGTCGATATGAATGCGGAAAAAGTAAAGAAACATGAAATATCCACAAATAACTCACTGTTATCAACTTATTTTCATTCCTCAGCGGGACTTCTCTAAAACTCAGAACAAACTTAAAACACCTCTCAGTTCAACTCAACTATACACCTGGAGAATGTTAACAAACTTTTAACTAAACCCTGTAATCAAGGTTCCATTAAACTTTAAAATCTTCCAATTTCTTCAACAGTTCGGAAGGTTTGATTTATGAAGCTTTCCGAAGTTGCTCTATATACCATGCTCTAGAGGAGTAGAAATACTTTAAATAAGTTTTAAACTTTAACTTCAATTTTTCATACAAGATAGGGGCGAAGTTTAATGGTAGTATTTTTATTTCTGGTATTTATGCAGAAATGTATATTCTGAACGATATTGGGATGGTTATGCTTGAAAAAAAAATATGAATTAAAAGTGAAAAAGACTATGAAAATGAATATGACATTGAATACAAAAATTATTTAAAAATAAATGTGTAGTGTGTGCCTTGTACAGAAGCATGAAAATTTTCATAAAAATGATTGAGTCTGTAGGCATACGTAACCTACAGGATGATCATGAAAATTAACCTCAATATAGAGAATTGTGAACTCTACCTTCCTCAAAGTTCCAAATGATAAGATCTAAGTTTCAGTTCATTAAGGAACACGGACTAAACTACAAATATGGATTCTAGCCTCGTGTAACGTGATAAATAATCAGATAGATAGATATTTACATATTTCGGCAAAAGGTAAATAGAATTTTTCAGAATGAGTAAATTTTTTTTTACATTACACATTTATTTGTATTCAATGGATTCATCAGCCATCACCCCATTTACGCCATTTTTCTATGCTTCCCCTAGTAAAACAAATCCTTTATTCAAAATACGCGTTTAAACGCTAAATTGTTCTGCCTTCACTACCACCATGGTTTAATTTGTATTCATTCTGGTTTAAAATGTATGACCCAGGAATGAATTTGAACTACGTCCCCAAACTACCTATACTGCCGGTTAAAATTTAAACCAACGATTCAAAGTTGAGAGTAAGAAAGGATTTAAATTTGAAACGGCGGCGGTAGGCAGTTCCAATTCATTATTTCGGTCCCTGGAGACCTTAAAGTATATTTTTTCCTTCAGAACATCTGCGTGGTGGGTTGATCCAAGATTATAATTAAACATGCTGTTCAGAGTTCGTGACTACCAACCATTCTACACTCTTTAGTTTATCATTTTTATCCTTCTCTCGGTCCTACCCCTGTCCAATCTATTTGTCTGTCTATTCAATTTTTTGTTCAATCTATTTTCCTTTTTAATCTATTTTTCTGTTTAAGATAAGATAAAGTTTATTGCTAAAATACATGTATCTGTGTAAAGAACGAGTTTACAATTACAAATTGATAATTATATTAACAGTACAAGTGTAAAGCAATTAGGTGGAAAATAGCGCTTGGCTGTTTTGATTATTTTGAATAAGACTTCCTATTCAACCTTTTGCTCAATTCATTTTATGTTAATCTATTTTCCTGTCAAAGTAATTTCTGTTTCAATCTATTTTCCTGTCAAATTCTATTTCGTTCTTTTTTTCCCTTTAGAACGATTTTTTTTGTCTAAACTCATTTTCATTTCGTATTTTCTTCATTATTTTTCATTAGTTTAATTAAATCTGCTTAAATCATATTCTGACGAATTTTCCCTTTCTTTACAATCTCTTTTTTGAGACTCTAAATCTTTTTGTATTATCCCAACGCCCCCCCCCTCCACCTCAAAGCCAACCTTTTGTATTTGCTAGTGAAGGTGGTATATTTGAAGTAAGAAAGGTATTATGTAGATCTGGTTGAATACAAATACGGTAGCTCCGGGTTCTAGGTTATATCTAGAGTATTCAATAAACATTACTCATCCAACTCTTTTAACCCAGAGAGTAGTAGCCTGTTATTTTACAGGTTTATCATGTAGATTTCTTATATAATCTACAGGTTTATCATGTAGATTTCTTATATAATCTACAGGTTTATCATGTAGATTTCTTATGTAATCTACAGGTTTTATCATGTAGGTTTCTTATATAATATACAGGTTTCTAAAGTAGGTTTCTTATATATCCTACAAGTTTATCATGTAGGTTCCTTATATATTGTACAGGTTTATCATGTAGTTACCTGCATATTCTGCAGGTTTCTAAAGTAGGTTTCTTATATATCCTACAAGTTTATCATGTAGATTCTTTATATATTGTACAGGTTTATCATGTAGTTACCTGCATATTCTGGAGGTTTCTAAAGTAGGTTCCTTATATAATCTACAGGTTTATCAGGTAGATTTCTTATATAATCTACAGGTTTAATCATGTAGATTCCTTATATAATCTACAGGTTTATCATGTAGATTCCTTGTATAATCTACAGGTTTTATCATGTAGATTTCTTATATAATCTACAGGTTTTATCATGTAGGTTTCTTATTTAATCTACAGGTTTTATCATGTAGGTTTCTTATATAATCTACAGGTTTTATCATGTAGGTTTATCATGTAGTTACCTGCATATTCTGCAGGTTTCTAAAGTAGGTTCCTTATATATCCTACAGGTTTATCATCAGTAACTTTTTTAAAACTTTTTTTAAACTATGCAAATATTGTATAATTAGCTGATGTGAAAAACTTAAATATAAAACGAATCCTAGGGTAGTAATGTGTAGGTAGATGATTAGCCAGATTTAAACTAGGCAAACTTAAAACTTTGTTTAACATAAATATTTACCAAAAAGTTTAGCACATCTCCCATCTTCCTCTCCCTGCATCAGTTTTAATTATTATACAGATCTTACCAAGAAAATCAAGGAGTAAGCCAAGGATAAATGAATCTCAAAGAAGTAAAATTCTCTGAAAAATGGAACAGATTTTATATATAAGAAAAGAAAGGATTAGGAGCTATCTTATATTCACAGCCAGACGAATTGGAATTGGAATAGAGATTTATTCATTTTCTTCAAAGATTCTTTCATATCTCAACTTAATATAAATCTGAACAATGTGAAGAAACAAGGTTTGGTTTCGGAGGAATAGAACTGAGTAAATATAAATAGAGATGGGAGATGGATCTACCTGGATACTTCCTGTCAAAACAAGACACTAGAGGGTAGGTAAATAAACAGATCAGGATATATTAGATCAATATATCAAGGATCAACATATCATGCATCAAGGCATATTTAATTAAAGTAAGGTAGATTGATGTATCCTTAAAGGGACTGTCAACGCAAATTCAAGTAACCCCTATCTTGCATGGCTGATTCACAACGGTGCCTTTTAACCTTTATCTGAGCAACAATGAGGAAGATATCGTCGTTTTTCAATCGTTTTGTCTCTCTCTCTCTGGATAAAACTGCGAGTCATTGTTATTGAGAACCCACAATTGAAAATGATCAATTCTTAAATAGAAAAACAAGAATATCTTCATCATTAAATACTTAGACGAAGGTTTGAAGGGTACTGTTTGGAAAAAAATGGAGGGTGATTTAAAATTAATTGTGATGGATTAGAAAGTTCTAAACCAAGGTAATATATTACTGAATTATGCTGAAAAAAGTTTTTCCCTTATTTTTAGTTTTTTGGATCCATCTTGATCCAGGTAGTGGTAAACGACGGAGGGGAGGGGGTTTTATTGCTTTCTGTTTTCCTTGAATCAGTACCTATTGATTAGAATGGGGAAGATTGTCTTAGTAAATTCTGTATCTCGTATGCATAATCTTGTCCTATGTAGTCTGGTCTAGTCCTGGTATATTCTGGTCCTTATATGCATAATCTTGTCCTAGTGTAGTCTGGTCTTGTCCTGGTATAGACTGGACTAGTCCTGGTATATTCTTTTCTGTGGCCTTCTAGATATAATTTTGCAGATGTCCAAAGTAATATTTAAAGTGGATTGTTTTAAACCTTTAAACTTCCATATATGCGATATATTACAATTTCATGCCTTTACAGACCTCCTCTGCACTCTAGAATTAGACAAAAACGTAACGTTTTAGTAACGATAGAAACTATATGCAGTATACTCTATCCCTGATATCATAAAAGGGACGTTTTTAGCCACAATTTAATTTAACAGAATATCACATTGTTCACTCACTTTTCAATAAGATTAAGTGTAGAATGTATAACTCTTTCCTGCAAACTGATAGAAGAAAGTCGGAAGGATTTAATAAAGCAGTGGGACTACCTTTTCAAGGATTTCAACAAAATAATAATAAAACCGCCATTGTGTGTACTGGAAAGTGGAAACATGAATGTACTGATGTATTAATGGTGGAGAAACCTTATAAAACCAACTCTTTCCCTTGCAGTTGCATCTGACTGAAGGCTATAACTAAAAGTCACGTAATAAAAACAAAAATTTTTTCTATGTAACAAAAAAATTTAGTCTTTGCCACAAACTCTGATTTTCTAATCCCCATATCTTTGCAACCCAATGTAGAAAGCCCTTTTACATTTTATTAGAGCAAATACATATTAAGATTGTAATATCAAAGGTTTTCACCATCAGGTTGCAAAGATTGGATTGGAAAATTTGAGTTAAAGTATTATGATTTATATTTAACTATAACGCACAATAATTTAATCTGTTTGAAGAAATCCGAACATTTTGTTCGTTTTATTGAACTTACCGGAAGCATATATCTCTAAATTGCGAACGTTTTGTTTAAAATTAAGAACTTAAAATCATGTTGATCACAACTTCAAACATGATGATATTTGTTATTTTTCGTTGCTTTCGTATTTCAATTTTACGAACAAAATTTTCTTCTAATTGTGTATACTTGGAACATTGTTTGCATTTGTGGAGTGAATTTTATTATAAACTTTTGCAACTAAAGAACAAGCAATAACTATTAAAAAGTTGCAAAAATAAACAAAAACCATTTATATCAAATGAAAACATTGAATAAAAAATTAATCTAACTTTTTTTGTTTTAGTTCCTGTCCTGAGCGTGGTTGGTAGCTATGAAGGAACGGTGAGCGAGAAAGGAGGAAAGGTTGAATTATCTCCAGAGCTGAGAACTGAGAATGGACCCATCTGTGGGTACAGGATCAGTGCTAGTTATAACGAAAAACTTCCTTTTGAGGTATCCATTGTTTTTCTACAGGATATAATGCAGTTTGCAGCCACACTGTAGTCAACTAACTTATTTATTATTTAAGAAAGGCTCTAAGCTAATTTAGAAAGTAAACGTATTTATTTACAAAACTTACAAAACAGGAAAGTTTTTACAAGATAAATACAATTTTAGCTCTAGAAGAACAATAGCCCTGACAACTACAGATAGTCCCGGGAACTCAGGGGCGAATTTAAAGGAACTGTTGTAAGGGTAATTTCATGTAACCTTCCACGCAAAGATTACAACAGTACCCTTGAAACCTTTGGTTGATTAAGTATGTATTAGATATCCATGTTTTTTGTTTTATTAAACTGTTCATTTTCATTTGCGGTTTCTCTGTAAACGTGACTTGCGCATTTCTTACTTATAAGAAGCAATGTACAAGTTCTGGTGAGGAAAACGACAGTATCTTCCACTTTTTTAATCGGAGCTGGGAACTTTTGAATAGTGGATATCGGGATTAATGCTTGATCCACTCTTTTTCCTAATCTCCAGATTAAATAATGCTTGTTCTCCTCTCATTTTCAATCTCCAGATTAATTTACCGATCGGGATTAAGGATATCCCATTCTAAAGTTTTTAGCTCAGATTAATGTTTTAAGGGTGTCGTTTTGAGTTGGGCATTGCCATCTTTTCATGATTTGTCACTTGAAATTACGCTTACAGTCCCTTTAAACTCGCCTTTGTTCTACACGACAGACATTCATAAACCAATAAGGGATCAAAAACAAATAGTTTGCAAATATTCTTTTTTTAAATATCCTGAGCTGAGAAAATATGCAGGATAAAATTGATTTTCTTATTGTGGGGAGATTAACCAATCTTTCATTTGTAATATTTACAAAAATTTAATTTTGACCAACCATCGTTTAATTGCAGATACTTGATCCCCTCCTTTTTTTAATAAATAAAGGAATGTCTGGGTTCAAAGCTGGATAGTTTTAGAGCGTGATGTGGCATAAAATCATCGTTTTACTTATGATCAAGATGGGAGTAGGGAGGGGGGGGGCGGAGACCCCATTCTAACATTGGTTAATATTTGGAGAATGGAGAAAGTAAACCCATTTTTGCCCACGTTTTGAAGTTATGTTTAATGAGACATGATAATGAAATAATTACGAAATCAGTAATTTTGTTGTTTACAAAAAAATTATTGAAAAGAAGTTTATGTCTTTGCCACAAACTCAAATGTTCCAATTTATAAATCTTTGCATCCTGATGGAGTAAACATTCGATATTTCAATCTTAGATTATTTGATCTAACAGCATTCGTAGTTTGAAATATCTAAGGTCTACGATGTTGGGTTGCAAAGATATAGGGATAAGAAAATCAGAGTTTGTGGTGAAGACGCAATTCCTTTGCTAAATCGCAGATAGATAAAATGTAAAAACACTGAACTTTTTGAGACCTGTTTAGAGTTTTATCCCCAATTAAAGAATTATGAGAAGTCTAAAAGTTTTCAAACTTTATCAATTAATTGTTTTCAGAACATTTATTTTCCTGCTTTCATAGTTTTAGTTTTATTCACAACAGGCCGTATAAATCCCTCCCTCAACTAGTTTTATCAAAATTATCTATATTTACAGAAAAGATGTATCGATAGATTAAAGTGTATCTACGATCTACTGAATTATCTATTTACAGAAAAGATGTATTTAAAATTTGTTCATTGTTTTAGGATTTTCCAAATTTTCCAATAAATTCTTCTCATTTTTAAATATTTTTCATCGTAAAAAGAGAAATTTCAAATTGATGATATTCCTTTCAAACTTTAATCATATCAAGGGTCTATACTAAACTGACAATCCCAACCCTCTTTTTATTAAAAATGTCGTCTTTTCTATTTTTGAATTTCTTGAATGTTCATGAATGTAGTGTCTTTGGTATTAAATTCAATCTTTTTTTTGTACGAAATTATTTGGCAAAAAATCAATGTAAAAAAGGACTTAATAAATTCTTACAGTCGTCTATGAAGGTTCGTCCTTCGTGGGTCTGGGTAAAAATAAAAAGACGATGACTGATTTTTTTTTAAAACTAAAGTGAAATTTTTGTAAAAATTCAATATGATATTTTAAAGAAATTATATTTTTGGATGAGCAAACAAATTGGTAAAAATAATAAATAAAATAATAATAAGATAATAAAATTTCTCAGTGCGTAAGCTGAGTCAGGGTTTCCAATATAAAATTCAAAAATAAAGTTTTAAGTCATTTACATAATATGTACAATATTACCAATACTGAAGCTAACCCTGAGCAGTGAGCAGTGAGTAGGACGGGCCTACTAATCATATAATGAGAAGACTAATCTGTTCCTTAATAATGTATACTTCTAATACATACATTATAATACAATACATACATAGTACAAATACATATTTATCATTTTTTTACAGAGTGTACCAAGTCCTTATTTGAACCATCAAAATATAAATATTTTTGTTGTACTTTAGTATAGCAGCTTTGTACTTTCTTATTGGTTTATTTTATAAAAATCCATTACATCTGTATAATGCTTTCTTCTTTCTATTTTTCTATTTTTTATCATAATTTCTAAATCTATGGTAGAATGAGGTTTCGTTTTCTGTGTTTTTCTTCTGTTTGTTTTTTAAATGACCATGCTATTCTCAGTGTTTTTACCTTTGGATTAATGGACGCTTGATCTGTTTGTGTTTCTATATATTTGTTTACTTGAAGGTGTTTATGCTGGATCAAGTGGATGGAAGAGCGGAGATGAAGGTGAGACAACCTCTAGATTGTGAAACCAAGCGAAGCTATAAAATGAGTCTGGTAGCAGTATCCTGTACAGGGGAAGTGTCTGACAGGTGAATAGATTACTTTACAAAACTTGAAATGTTTCTGACAGGATTGAACGATAAGTCTTTGGAGACGAAAAGTGTGATTTTATTTCCCAACTTGCTAACTTGGTTTAATATGAAGCGAGGGTGGAGAGATTTATGTAAATATTATATTTTAGTGTCGAGGTTCATATCTCTGTAAGGGACGTGAACGAGTATCTACCTGAGTGGAGAGAGGAGGAGTACAGTGTTCAGGTTCCAGAAGGAGAGTTAATCGACAACATTATCTCCGTCTCTGCCAAGGATAAGGATTGCTCTCCGACCTTTGGTTCTATATGCGGTTACACGATCTCTAGCCCAGAGCAACCTTTCGAGATAAACGATCATGGTGTGATCAGGAACACAGTTCCGCTCTACTCCCAAGAGTCTAGAATACATGTTCTCAGTGTGATAGCTCGAGATTGTGGAGGGAAGGAATCAAGTTCTGTTCTAGTTACGATCAACGTATTACCGAAGTGTATAACTTCTTGGACAGGTTTGTAACCTTTCTTTATTTATCAATTTACAGAAATTTTAAAATTTGATTGATATGATGGCAATGTTTTCTTACCTTTTTCTAAATTGAAATAGAAATAATATCGATTTCTGATATTTTACTGACGTTTTATTAGATTTTATACAAAATTGATTTTAAACTTGAGATATCACAAGCTGTGTGAAATATAACTCTGTATAATCTGGTACCTAGAGTAGGTTCCCTCTATCTCCAATATCTATAATATATTCCTGACCGGGAGAAAGGCTGATGTATATTATTTCAGATGTATCCACGAGTATGACGTATATCCCAGGAACAGGTCCTCAGCCTGTATTCCCAGCAGCTAAACTCCAGCTATGCCCTGCTGTCTGTCAACCTGCCAGGATAGAAACATCTCTCACCCTTCACACCGACCATGTTGGTGTAGGATGTGACAGAGACACTTACAGTTTAGCCAGTCAGAGGAAGATGTGTGGATCCAGTAGTAGTGCTGTAGATCTACTCCCAGCGGAATCTGAAGCTAAGTGGGTTGACCAGCTCAAAACTGACAAAGGACGTGAGGTTAATCCTGTTTATCATTTCGATGGAAACTCCGCTGCAACAATTCCGGAGCAGGTTCTACCACATTCTCTGGGATCAGAGTTTACAGTTTACACCTGGATGAGACATGGATCTAAGAATATGGATAAGCACAGCAAAGAACATATAGTTTGTCTTGCCGATGATCATCGTAAGAACCGACATCATCTCGCTCTGTTTGTCAGGAACTGTAAACTGGTTTTGTTGTTCCGCCGCGAATACGTGGAGGCGGAAAGAAATGTATTTAAGCCGGCGGAGTGGAGATGGTCTCTGCCCCAGGTTTGCGATGATAAATGGCATCATTACGCTGCAAGTGTGAACACTGACGGAGTAGAGCTTACTCTGGACGGAGAGGTTTGGCAACCGGAGCCAAACAACCCAGAGATAATTGATGACTGGCCACTGCATCCTGCTTCAGACCTGAAGACCACGTTTACCGTTGGAGGTTGCTGGCATGGATCTGATATGAAGATGAGACACTTGATGAAAGGAGATCTTGCAGGTCTTGCTGTTCTACCAGGGAAAAAGGAACACTCCGAGGTTTTGAAATGTCTTGTTCAATGCAGTGAATCCTTACAGCTACCAGCAACTAATCTTCTGGATCCTGGGATGGAGATGATCACGAACAGTCATGGAAGTCAGGTCACCATCGATGGAAAGGATTCTAAGAATATGGAAGAATTGGTTCGTCAGGTTGCGTATCTGAATACTCGTGAGTTCCCAGCTCCAGGTAGAAGAAGGATGGAGCTTACAACCACTATAACATGTCAAGACGGATCCAAGAGAGAAGTTCCGCTCTCGGTCTCTAGAATCCTGGTGCTCCCTGTTCCTCAACCCACCATTAGTCTCAGCGCCACGGAGAATAAATCACGAGGTTATGAGGACTTTAAGAAAGGTGTCAGAATATTCGAAGATCTAAGCATCAGTGTCTCCAAAGTTGAGGATGAGATCGAACCTGACTACGGATCGGATACCAAAGTGGACAGATGTTCCATCATTGTTTTCCCACCTTTAAACCCTGATCATGAGAAGATACTCCTTCCTCAGCCCATGCTGAACAGTCTGAATATAGTTGGAAAGGTTGGAGAAGAAGGAGCGGATATAAGGGGTGCAGATATGATCTATAACTATGAGCAGGTTCTAAGACAAGTTATCTATTCTAACCAGAAGCCTGCTTACTACCTGAACCGTCAGTTTAAACTAGTCTGCTCCGAGCTCAACCAGAGGTTTACCAGCAACGAGTATGTACAAACGGTAAATATTACTAATTTACTAAACATAAAAAAAAAGTTTAATGAAAAGCTTAGAACCATTTTTTCTTATAATACAAAATGTATGTTTTCTAATGGCAAACACATTCCTATTCAATATTCTGTATATTAATTTAAAGTGAATTGAACCCCACGGAATAATATTAATCTATGAATACCCTAGGCTACCTCTCTATTCTCTATATTCTCTCTTTGTACATGATAATTATTCTTCCCATCTAGCAATCTATCAACCAGGATATAATAAAATCCTCTTATCTCTGTCAACTCTACCGTTTTCTTTATCTTCAAGTGAAGTTGGATAAACAAAACTGAAAATAAATAACACAAACAAAAGTTTATTTACAACAATTGTTTACAAACTTTTGATGATAAATGTTAATAGGTGAGTGTAGTGCATCCTCCAGTAAACCCTGAGACCCTGGGACCTGTTCGTCCTGCTCATCACCAGATCTCCCAGCATGGAGCGGAGGTTTCTTCAGCTAGGTTTATCTCATCTTCTAGGGAATATATCTCTCTCACAGGACAAGCTCAAGGTACTAGTTATACCTCAAGGTTCCTTAACCAAACATAAATATTGAATCCTTGACTTTAATATCCTAAAAGAAAAATTATTCTTTCCTAGATCAAACACAACTATTCTATCCTAGACCAAAGCCAACTGTTCTATCCTAGATCAAACACAACTATTCTATCCTAAACCAAACCCAACTATTCCATCCTATAGATCAAAAATAACTATTCTATCCTAGACCAAACCCAACTATTCTATCCCAGACCAAAGCCAACTGTTCTATCCTAGATCAAACACAACTATTCTATCCTAAACCCAACTCAACTATTCTATCCTAGATCAAACACAACTATTCTATCCTAGACCAAACTCAAGTGAAGCCTGACATGGGATCCATCTTTCACATAAATAATCAATGGAATATCTTGGTCATAGGAAACTATTATGTGAATTATCAAAATTATCAAAATTCAATGCTTTTAACCTCCTCGGATACTAAACGAACACTGATGCATCGATTCTTATTTACAAAGTCCGCCCAGAGAGAACTGGTTTCAATATATACGCAGAGTATACGCAACTGCAATTAACTTTCCTTGCATTACATTCTTGACCAAACCCAACTATTTTATCCTAGACCAAACCCAACTATTCTATCCTAGATCAAACCCAATCATTCTACCCAAACCAAACCCAACTATTCTATCCTAGACCTAAGCCAACTATTCTATCCTAGAACAAACACAAATACTGTTTTGTTACAACAAAAATCTATTCTTTTTTATTTGAAATCTTGTTTACTGCACAGTGCACATATACATGCAGATTCTCCCGAAATGTCGTCCTTTATTTTCTGTTAAATCTAAAAGAACATTTGAAAGAAATCTCTTCAGCCATTGTTGAAAGTCATTAAAATGGGAACATTTAAAAGTTAGCCAAGTCCATAAAACGTAGAACCAATAAAAGAGTCTCTTAGGAGATGTTTAAGATGGTTCTTTAGAAAGTAAATAGTAAATAGTAAAGTAAACAATGTACTATTTTAACATAAAAATTTCCTTTTGCGGCTTAAAAAAATATATAGTTTAAAAAAAAAGAAAAAAGAAAAGTCTAAGATTTTTTACGTGTTCAAAAAAAACACTTGCTCGTTGTCAACTTTCACGCTACTTTTTCTACCTCGATTTCAATCCAACATTATTTAATGAACAATTATATTGTTTAACTCTTTTTATTCTTTTTATGCTACATAAGTTAATTACCATTATTTATTAAGAATCTAAGCTTTTTATTTCTTAATATTTTTCAGATTTCATTATATGCCGGGGTTTGGGTTTCATACAGGGTGTCCCACGAAACATGACAATAGCAAGACGACTTGAAAGTCGTCTTTGGTATTTGAATTTATTTGTGACATTTAGTCTTCTATCTACTTTAACGTGCATGATTCTTGAAACAATTATCACATAATTCTCCTAGCCCTGCATTTCCAAAAAGTGGTCTGCGTTTTTTGTGATTTCAATATTACCGGAGATATAAAGAGTTTGGTTCAGATTTCAATTTTGTTAAATAAAAGCAAAATTGTCGAAATCTGAACGAAATTCTTCATATCTCGGGCAATATTGAAAGAGACCACATTTTGGAAATGGCAGGACAAGGGAAATTTTGTGATTATTATCTATAGAAATAATTACTTCTAAAATTAGGTTGACAAATAAACGCAGCAAATTATATGAAAAATCAAGACGACATTCAAGTCGTCCTGCATACTGTCATGTTTCGTGGGACACCCTGTAGGTTCATACGAGGATTTTCTCTTGGAATTTGGTTACTGAGAGAAGTATTTTCCAATGTTGGAATCAATCAAGAATAGGTTTTTAAAAGAGAAAAGTTTCTCACTAAAGGAATGTAATGACGCTAACGATGAAAAATGTTCGGAAAGTCTGGAAAGAAACCCTTGAAGTTGTAACTCTGGGAATACCTGAATACACTTGTGTTTTAATCTTCACGAAAATCTGTCAACTAAATTAATTTCTTTTAGTCACGAATTTTATACTTTTTATATCATTTTATTCCCTAGGACACGCAGTAGTTGTTGTTGTTGCTGTGTGCGTGTGCTTGTTGATAACTGTGCTCGGAGTTGGCGTGCTCCGATTGCGCGCAGCGCACAGACGATCCAGCGAGTGCGAGGCCGAAGTCGAAATGGCCTGGGATGATACAGCGCTGAATATTACAGTCAATCCTCTAGAGGTAATATTTATTTAAGCTCCGAGATCTCGTCTGTTGATTAATTACTTGAAATTTTCCATCTTCTCAGGGTTTATTAAACACACAAAATCAAAGCTAAGTACGGGTTGGATATCTCTATTTAAAATTTGGAAATGGTTTAAAAAAAAAAAAAAATTGTGTCACGAACTCTGATTTTCTAATCCCTATATCTACTTAACCCAATGTCATAGACTTTAGATATTTCAAAAATATGATTTCTGTTAGATCAAATAGTTTAAGTTTGAATTATCAAAAGATTACACAATCAAATTGCAAAGATATATGGATTAGAAACTTTGAGTTTGTGACAAAGACCCATTTCCTTTATAATTACTAGCTTGGAAACCTAGCAATGTCTGGAAACTGAACTCTACCTATAAACCTTCTCAACTTTAAAGTTTTGAACTAAGCTAAGAACATTTCTGTGTTCTGCCGAGATTCATAATTAAAATTTGAAAAAATAGGTTCAGGGGCTAATGAGTTATGTTCGAAATACAAAGATAAGCAAACAGACAAACCGAGAATACTATGTTATATAAATGCTATCCTTAGAAAACTTTAAATGTAAAAAAAGACAATTTTATAAATATTTATTTTTCTCGTATTTAAAAATAGAACTGGTAGAATCAGAGGGGGTTATGAAATGCGGTACTTCAGAAAAGAGGAGTGTTCACAGAGGGGGAATTATGAAATGCGGTTCTCTAGAACAGGAGTGTTTATAGAGGGGGGTGGGATTATGAAATTCGGTTCTCCAGAACAGGAGTGTTTATAGAGAGAAGGGTATCACCTATTTCACGAGAAAATCTTTTCTTTGAAGATTTCTGTGCCTACTAAGCTTTAAACCTTGAGTTATATTTAAATCTATTCCAGGTTCTTTACTCCTCGATACTTTCTGGGTTTATCGGTTTTATATAAAGGGACTGTATGTTCATTTTAAATTGATTCTCTAGTTTTGAGATAAAAATTTAATATTTATACAATTCAGACAAAACGGCAGTATTTTTTATTTTTTGCTGCACTATTGTTGACCATATTAACCCATCTATATGTATAGCTACATAAGATAGTCAAAAGAAAAGGGGGTCTTTACATTTTAACAAATTCATAGTTATGAATTTCTTGTTCTAGGAATCTGAGTGTCAAGCCATGGGTGGTTTAAGACCAACCGAGTCAGATCTTGAGGATTCGTCCGACGACGACATGTACGCTGACGACACCTCGGATGACGACGATGATGACGATGATGGAGTTGAAGATGCTCCAACTCGTCACCGACTTGAGTGGGATAATGATATCTAAATACATTGTTCTACAGAGAAATGGTTTTAAACCTTGGCATTTTTCTAGGCAACCCACCCATTCCTATTCACGCTAAATACAACCCGCCCAGATCTAGCCAGTACTAAATATATTACAAAACGTACCCTGAGAAAAAACCTAAACGTTGTACCGTACCAATTCGGATGTACATTGTACATATATTATCTCTATAGTTTACATATCAAATATTCCTCAACATTCAGAAAAAAATGATTTTAAATCTGCAGATTTTTAAAATGCTAATTGTTAAATGTTAAATTGAAAATGTAAATGTAACCTCCAGACCAGAAACAATATTATAAAATTATTTAATATTCAGACCGAGTTCGTTTTATTTAACATTTTTATTAACTTCGTTTTTATTTTGTAATTTAACACTCAGGATAAACCTAAACCTAAACCTAGAACTCACATTCCATTTTATTCAATGCAATTTTGTTCAGGGACAAGAAAGGGTTCAGTCAAACCTTATCAGCGTAGTTTACATCTGATTTAAGATACAATATTCCACCCTAAACTAAACCTTTGGTGCGATCTGCAGTGATCTGCAGTACTCGGACCGAATAAATAGTTGGTTTTAATGGAGAGTAAATTCGGTTAATCCTTTATAAAGGAATCATGTTTTCAAATTTTTAAAGAAACTTGAATCACGGTTTTTATTCAATGATTTTTAACCCTTGAATGTTTTAATGAAATAAAATCCAGAAACTTTTGATTAAAATATGTAACAAGGATTAAAATATATAACAAGGATTTAGATAAGTGCTTTTTAAAAAAACCTTCAAAAGCGGAAAATAATTTCTCGGACACTAGATTTTAGATCTTGTAGAATGTATTTTTGAAATAATTCTTGTAGTGTAAATTTTCTCTGAACCTATATTTGATTGAACCTAACCTAGCCCCTGAACAAGAAAACCAGATTATCTGAGCTTAATTGTAAAACTATGTATTGCACTGTGTTCAGAAATCAGGAAAACTATATTGCCATTCATTTCTTGTATTATTAAACCTTAGTTCAAGATTAGATTAGCTTATTTAACCCGTCTCGCCTGTAGCAGGAGACTTAATTGTTTTTAAATATTTAAAATAATAAATTTTTATAAAAAACTTTTATTTTATTAGGACGGTGAACCATGGAACACGTTTTGATTTCATCAGTATTTATGTTGATGGTGTAATAATGAAAATTGAGCCTAAAGCATAGCCAAACAATTTACACAGTTTCAAGTTTTAAGTAAAAACTCTTCCTCCTGACTGGTTTTAAGTAGATATCTGGAATGTGTAAAATCTTGGCCATGTTGTAGCTCATCTCCACTCTATAAGAGTCACAGCAGCATGTTACTTAGACAGAAAAACGATGATATCTCAATCAACGTTTAAAGCGTACAATATATGTACTGTTAATCATTTACAAAAGGATCGGTTTTATTTAATTTGGAGACTCATGCGTACAGCTTTTTATTGTACGATGTCATCATATTTAAATCTATCTTGATAGTTGACCGTACATTTATTGAGTGAAATGTCCGATTAAAAACGATACTCTTAAAACTTTAATGAATGAGATTTCCTAGTTTTTCAATATGAATTCTTTGTAAAGGTGGCTTGATGCACAGCCGCCAAGACAATGCGAGCTGGTGGGGGGGGGGGGGAGTGTGTTGATTTTTATCTCTGTTTACTTTTCAACTACTTTTTCGCACAAAAGTTTTAAAGACAAACGCTGCATTTAATATGTCAAGAAGAAGAGTTTCTGCACACTGCACTGGTAAACATAAATCTATTGATAATCAATAATTCAATAATTCAGCCTTGCAACCGTTAAACCAATTTTAAATCTCGAACAACACTTTTTGTAGACCTTAATTATACATTTATAATATTTCGAAATTTAAACCATGTAAAACTAAAAATATTTTTGTCATGAAAGGGACTGTAAACTTTAACTTTTCCTATTTAACCCGGGGGTTTGAAATCAAATCAAATCAAATTAAATATATGGCCATAAACAATAGAGGTAAAATAGATAATTATAATTTACAACAATATATTGAAGTTTATGGGTTTATTTAGGAATTCACATTTTTAGACATTCTTTTAATGATAAACGAACATTTTTTAACAATAATAACGGAATTGAGTTTTTGCCACCCTCAAATTTTCTAAATCCTAAATCTTTACAACCTGATGTTGTAAACCTTTGATATTTCAAACTTGGATTCTATTCTAGGATTTTTACGTAGGGTAGAATAATTATAAGGGGGGGGGGGGGGGACGTCTCCTTCCCTTCCCTAATGTTGTCTACATTCACTAAAGGAAAATACGACAGTGTACAGCTTGACTTTTGAGATTCCCTTCCATTATTTTCATTTTCCTGCTTGATTTTCTTTTTTCTTCTTGTTTATTGTTTCTACGCTTTGACGCCTTTCCAAATAGTTCTTGTGACATTGAGTTGTGGAGCAGGTAGGAGAGAGATTAAGAGGTTTGTAGGAGGAAGGGTATAGGGGATTGCTCCCTGTGTTCCTTCTGTTAAACTCTTTCCGAGTTAAGGGGCATTTTAAGGAAACCCCATAACTGCACTCTTTATGCAAAATGGGGAGTTGTTGCGCTAGAGCCCAATTGAGAGGAATCTTCCACAGCAGTCCAATCCTCACAGCTGGTAGAGTAAAAAACTGGTATCATTGTGCATGGATTGTATACCCATCAGGGATTAGACCCCTTCTTTCAGTTACACCAGGCTGAAGATAAAATCTTGTTTTATTCTATGTAGATTCACTATTCCCCTGTAGGATACAAGATGTGCAACTAAACGCAGCACTCCACTGAACTGTAAAGCTTGGACTGCTGTAAGAGAGGTCAGCTCTCTTCTGAGGGTGGTAGAAGATTGTTTGATTTAATAGGATTCATAGATTGAAATATCAAAGGTCTTTGATATTTTGTTAGAAAATCAGAGTTTGTGGCAAAAACTCAATTCCGTTAGGGCTGCTTTATTTGATGTCAATTTTTCAGTAATTCAGAATTTAAGATCATGCAGAGGTTAAAACTTTTGTGTGAATAATTGCTGGATCCTGGGATAGACAACACAAAAAGTCTGACCTCGAATAAATTTCATAATTTGAAACTATTTTAATGACTGAAAATAATCTACTTATAGCAGGTGCATTACATATCGAAGGAAGAAAATGTAAATAAAAATGACAATTTAGAATTCTAAAACAATGTTTCAAAAGAATTTGTTCGGATCCCTGGGTTAACAGAGAAAATGTATTTAAATTTATTAATCTAAATCTGCAGAATTTAAATTTGTGTTTCAGGATAATGCAATAGTTTCATTTATTAAATCCTTCAAAAAATTTGTTTAAATATGGAAAAGAGGGAATGCTGATACAAATAGAAGAAAAAGGAATTGAGTCTTTGCCACAAACTCTGATTTTCTAATCCCCATATCTTTGGATTCCAACGTCGTAAACCTTTGACATTTCAAACTATGACTTTTGTTAGATCAAATAGTATAAGTTTGAAATATGAAAGGTTTACGACATTGGGTTCCAAAGATATTGGGATTAGAAAATCAGAGTTAGTGGCAAAGACTCAATTCATTTAGACAGAACCTGATTCAGAAATAATCCCTCAAAAACTTACATAGTAGTTGAAATGTAAAAACTGACATAGAAGCAGCCCTTGGAGAACTTAACATAGAAGCAGTTTTTAAAGAACCTGCCATTAAAACACCTTCCCATAGCTTAACATAGAAGCAGTCCTCACAGAACTTAACAAAGAAGTAGTCCCCTAAAAACCTTGCAAAAGAGCAGATCTCTAATAACCTAATATAGAAGCATATCTTCATTAACTTGACATTAAAGAGTTCCATGACAACCTACGATAGAATCAGTTTTTACTTAACCTATAACAAAGAACATAGAAGTAAACCTCCAAGAACGTGACATAGAAGTAGTCTCCCAAAAACCTTTCATTGAACTAGTCCTCCAAAAAAACCGACATAGAAGCATTCCTCCAAAAACACAACATAGAAGTAATCATCCAAGAAGCATACATCGTTGTTGTTCTTCAAGATCCTGACATAGATGATAGAAGTAGTCCACAAAAGAACCTGACATAGATGATAGAAGTAGTCCACAAAGAACCTGACATAGATGATAAAAGTAGTCCACCAAGAAACTGACATAGATGATAGAAGTAGTCCACCAAGAACCTGACATAGATAATAGAAGTAGTCTGCCAAGAACATGACATAGATGATAGAAGTAGTCCACCAAGAACCTGACATAGATAATAGAAGTAGTCTGCCAAGAACATGACATAGATGGTAGAAGTAGTCCACCAAGAACCTGACATAGATGATAGAAGTAGTCCACCAAGAACCTGACATAGATAATAGAAGTAGTCCACCAAGAACATGACATTGATAATAGAAATAGTCTACCAAGAACCTGACATAGATAATAGAAGTAGTCTGCCAAGAACCTGACATAGATGAAAGAAGTTGTCCACCAAGAACCTGACATAGATAATAGAAGTAGTCCACCAAGAACATGACATTGATAATAGAAATAGTCTACCAAGAACCTGACATAGATGATAGAAGTAGTCCACAAAGAACCTGACATAGATAATAGATGTAGTCCATAAAGAATCTGACATAGATGATAGAAGTAGTCCATCAATAATCTAAACTAGAAGTAATCCTCAGAGAATCTCATAGTTCTACAAGAACCTGACATAGAAACAGTTTTCCCAGAACCTTATAACATTTAAATTAAAATGTGTAAACCTGGTTTAAAATATTTAATTCCATATTTCCTACAACATTCCTTTAAAGTTGAAAATATTTTCCTTCTAATTATGTTTCGTAATTAATAAAGTTGCCTGAAGAATGCATAATTTCAAATTATGAGCAAAATTTTAAATTTCAAGTTTTCTCAGGCTTGGCCAATTTGAAGATGAATAATGAGGAATATTGGAAATATTTCTAATAGTTTTAATATTTCCAGCGTAAATCTTGTTTTATACAGAAATAAATATTTGACAATTACTACTTCAAATAATTCAATGTTTAAAGATGGTTTAGTTATGTATCTCCAAAAAGAACTCTATAAGAGTTTTCTTAATTTTATTTTATTAAAAACTGAAATCATCGATATCTCATTTTTCAAGATAAATCGAAAATTCGAATCTTAAATTTTCATACAATAATAAAAAGGATTATTTTCATGCCTTAATTTTCATGTTCATTAGGAAACTCTGTATTTTGGCGTTATAGAATCAGGGAGTAAGGAATAGAAGGGAGATATAACTGACGCGGTTCTCCCTACCATATGATTATACATGCTTTGCGACGGGTACTCCATTTGTATAAGAAATATTTAGAATAGGTAATTGTATACGCAGTAATTGTACATCAGACAAATATTTCTTCAAATGAAGTACCGTCTGCAAAGCATTTATAATCATATGGTAGGGCGGGCCGCGTCAGTTATATCTCCCTTCTATTTCTTACTCCAGCCCTGTATAAAATCGAGCATGAGAGAACCAGAACCTACGTATTGAATAACCCCCTGTCTACACAATTACTCTTATCAGCTGTGTGTTCAAACTTCATTCAGTCAGTCCAGAGTAGACAGTAGACCTGTTTTCATCAAAGATGCTGATCAAGGTAAAAACTGTGAAATATATTGATTCATAAATTAAACAAAATAAACATAAAGAAACCTCATTAATTATCTATCAATATTTTAAAAGGATAAAATAGCGGTGATTACTGGATCAGGACAAGGGCTTGGAAGAGCATTTGCGTCTAAACTATTAAAGGAGGGAGCTAAGGTGAGAAACGAATCTGAACTCTGTATACTCTAGTGTTCAGGTTTAATTTGTACTCTGTATTCTCTAGTGTTCAGGTTTAATCTGTACTCTGTGTTTAGGTTCAATCTGAACTCTGAATATTCTAGTGTTCAGGTTTAATTTGTACTCTGTATTCTCTAGTGTTCAGGTTTAATCTGAACTCTTTATACTCTAGTGTTCAGGTTTAATCTGAACTCTGTATTCTCTAGTGTTCAGGTTTAATTTGTACTCTGTATTCTCTAGTGTTCAGGTTTAATATGTACTCTGTATTCTCTAGTGTTCAGGTTTAATGTGTACTCTGTATTCTCTAGTGTTCAGGTTTAATCTGAACTCTGTATACTCTAGTGTTCAGGTTTAATGTGTACTCTGTATTCTCTAGTGTTCAGGTTTAATGTTACTCTGTATTCTTTATAGTGTTCAGATTTAATCTGTAATCTGTATTCTCTAGTGTTCAGATTTAATCTGAACTCTGTATTCTCTAGTGTTCAGGTTTAATCTGAACTCTGTATACTCTAGTGTTTAGCTTTAATGTGTACTCTGTATTCTCTAGTGTTCAGGTTTAATGTGTACTCTGTATTCTTTATAGTGTTCAGATTTAATCTGTAATCTGTATTCTCTAGTGTTCAGATTTAATCTGAACTCTGTATACTCTAGTGCTTAGGTTAAATGTGTACTCTGTATACTCTATTGTTCAGGTTTAATCTGAACTCTGTATTCTCTAGTGTTCAGGTTTAATCTGAACTCTGCATACTCTAGTGTTCAGGTTTAATCTGAACTCTGTATACTCTAGTGTTCAGGTTTAATCTGAACTCTGTATTCTCTGTGTTCAGAGCCCAAAACTTAAGACAGGGTATCGTTATGAAAACCAGTTTTAAAACCCGGGTTTCACGATTGGGATTAGGCAGTTTTGTAAATGGCAATATTTATGTAATGAAATATTATTTTTTATATTCTCCAATTTTTTAGAATCTCTTAATTCAAATCTACAAAATGTTAAGACCCCAAAAAGGAAACTCGGGAGTTTCGTTCAACGATACTCTTTTAAATTTTGGATTCAGGTTTAATGTGTACTCTGTATTCTCTAGTGTTCGGGTTTAATCTGAAATCTGTATACTCTAGTGTTCAGGTTTAATCTGAACTCTGTATACTCTAGTGTTCAGGTTTAATGTATTCTCTTATGTTCAGGTTTAATGTGTACTCTGTATACTCTATTGTTCAGGTTTAATCTGAACTCTGTATACTCTAGTGTTCAGGTTTAATGTGTACTCTGTATTCTCTTATGTTCAGGTTTAATGTGTACTCTGTATACTCTATTGTTCAGGTTTAATCTGAACTCTGAATTCTCTAGTGTTCAAGTTTAATGTGTACTCTGTATTCTCTGTGTTCAGGTTTAATCTGTACTCTATATACTCTAGTGTTCAGGTTTAATGTGTACTCTGTATTCTCTAGTGTTCAGGTTTAATCTGAACTCTGTATACTCTAGTGTTCAGGTTTAATCTGAACTCTGTATTCTCTAGTGTTCAGGTTTAATGTGTACTCTGTATACTCTGTGTTCAGATTTAATCTGTCCTTTGTATTCTCTAGTGTTCAGGTTTAATCTGAACTCTGTATACTCTAGTGTTCAGGTTTAATCTGAACTCTGTATACTCTAGTGTTCAGGTTTAATGTGTACTCTGTATTTTCTGTGTTCAGATTTAATCTGTCCTTTGTATTCTCTAGTCGACTATTCTCTCTGTATTCAGGTTTAATCTGGTCTCTGTATATTTTAGTGTATGGGTTTAATTTGTACACCTTGTTGTTCAGGTTTAATCTGAACTCTTGGACACCTTGTTGTGTAGGTTTAATCTGAACCCTTGAACACCTTGTTGTTTAGGTTTAATCTGAACTTTATATAACTTTTGTTCAGGTTTGCTTGTCAGATATGAACGAGGAAACTGGACTCAAGACATTACAGGATCTTTCTACGGAGTTTGGGAAGAATAAAGTTCATTTTATTAGGTAAATAAATACACACTATCGTCTCTGAAGTCTTATCCTTTGTGGGTAACTCCTTAAAACTACAGCGATGTTCTAAATAAGCCGGAATAATATGAATTAATTGATAAATTCAAAGTAGTCTTCAACCTTAAAAAAGTTTGCGGCATTCAACATAAGGAACTTGATTTTAGCATATATTTTTTATGAAACAATAATCACAAAACAGTCAAAATACAGCGTTTTCCAAAATGTGGTCTGCATTTTTTGATGTGGTCACAATGCCAATAGTTTTAATTTTAAGTTTTTAAATATCTTATTAAGTTAAATGGGTCTGTTAACACTGCACAATTGCTGTGTCTCATGTTTATTGGACTATTTAAAGTCATAACTTGAGTCTAAAAGTCGACTTCCAATTTCAGAATTCTTTGTTTCTCACCGTATAAACCATTTAGTTGCTTTCATAAGTAATTGTCGAAAGTATATGTTAACCAATATAATTTTGTTGTTGAAAACCTTCTCTTGTGTTGCCTTAAGTTCACTATAATTTTTCTTGGGTCGTTTTAGCGTCATTTCCGATTCAAGTTAGATAACTTTATCACTTCAACCTGAAAAAAACGAGTTTTGTTTGCGATATCTAATCAGGGGGATTTTTGCGTGCCATTAATTCAGATGTTAGGAACGTCGTAAAATTTGAAGATATTTTTTTTGCTAAGCGATATGACATTCAATATGATATTCACGGGGTTTTAGGAATAAAATACATGGTTACCCACAAAGGATAAAACTGTAAAGACGACCAAAAACTCTTTAACAATGTAAAGGTTGAAATTGGTGTCCTGTCTGAAATATCCTCTGAAGTCTAATTTTGTAGATAACCCTGTACAAAATTAAACAAAAATCTGACAATTTTTTCTTTGAGAAAAAGTTTAAATAATATTGTTTCTAGATGTGATGTGACCAAGGAAGAAGATTTAAAAGCTTTGTACAATGGATGTGAAAGTTATTTCTCGAGTACGGTTGATATATTCTGCAATAATGCTGGAATCAATCATATCCCAGGCTGGAGGAAGTGTATGGAGATAGATATAGTATGTATTTTATACTTTATTTGGGCAAAAAAGATGGAAATTTTTTTATTTTTCTACCTGAAATTTCATAATTTTCAATTTTGGGTTCTCTGTAACAGTGACGAATTATGCAGCAGAGAATAGGAAGGAAACTGGCAGAATATCACGTATTGTTAATCATCTGGTAAAAGTTTAAAGGTTACTGTCGAGAATCGGGAATGTAATTTGAAATTATTAAAACGCACTAGAATCTTATATGTGGTATATAGCGGGCAATGATGAAGCTGTCAGTTAATTGTTTCTCAATATATCTTTAACATCATTAGTCTTTTGTAAAAATTCATGAAAATCCTCTTTAATTAAAAAATTTTGGGCATATATTTGTGTATTCAAACTTTCTGATGATTTATCTTAAAGTAAAGATTTTTGAATAAACTGAAAAAATTTAAGGAAGGGCCTTATTTACTATTTCATAATTTTTTTCTTTGTCAAATCTTAATATTTGACAGTTTTAGCATAATATTTAGATGGCAGTGATCAACGGTTCCGAGCTGGCAATGGATAGGATGGATCTACGGAATGGAGGTAGAGGAGGTCTGATTATCAATACTGCTTCTCTGGCCGGTATAGCTACTGCCATGTCAAGGGAATCAGCGTCATACTTCATTGCTAAACATGGAGTTGTTTCTCTTACACGAGCATTAGGGGTAGGTTTTAATATCTCGGAAATCGGAAGTAGTCATTGGTTTGGACCAGGAAAATTTTATGTGGTATAGTGAGATAAAAATGGTCTCTCCCCCCTCTCCTCACCTTACGATACAAAACAGAATTTAATTCTTGCTGATTTGATTCCATTGTTAAACTAATCTGAGCTGGGAACTTTTGTTTTCGCTTGATCTCGATATCCACTAGGGGAACTTTTAATTTGATTATTATTGTTTAATCTCTTTATTTCAGTTTTTCCATCAGGGTACTTACAATTACATTGGGAATATTGAATACGGATTAAATTAATCTGCAGATTAACAAAAGATCGAGATCAAGCCATTTATCTCGATATTCACAATACAAGAGTTCCCAGCTCTGGACAAAATTTCATTTTTCTATGATCCCAAACCCGTATGCTGCATATTGTTCGCTCTATTCTAGGTTTGAATAGATGTGCATAGGAGAAAGTATATGTAAATAAGATTTCCATAGTTTAATAGAACTTGAAAACTAGAAACTTGAACATTGATTACCCGCTGAACAATATCTTACAATGCATGGAGAAAAGTGAGATAGAAGTAATAATAAAATAAGAAACAAGATTTAAATAATAAAAAAAGAACAGAATAAAGTTAGGAAAAGAGAAGAAATTAATAAAGTTGAGAAAAAAGAAGAACTGAATAAAGTTAGGAAAAGAGAAGAACGAAATAAAGAGAAAATTACATCTAGAAAGAATCTAAATTCTAATCCTTTTGCAGAACATTTTTCATTAGGTTACGGAAACTAGAGGTCGGATTAAATAAAGAAATAAATAAACTTTTTGTGACGTTTTTAATCAAATCAAACAGAGATTATGAAAATATTTGGAGGAAAATTGAATTCAAATTTTTTGAAGGTATTTGGATTCAATGTTCTCTGTGATGCAATGAGCACCAGGCGCCAGAATTAACCTAGAAACAAATTTACTATTTTTGACTTGATTAAAATCTAATATTGTGTATGAAAATCTCAGTTATTTTGTAGCTATTTACCAAACCAAATATCACCTGCAAGTTAATGTTTAAACATTTTCTAAAATTTCAATTTAGACAATGTTTAAACCTTAAAATTCTGTAATGGAATTGAGTCTTCATCTTTAAAGCAAAGTGTCTAAACCCTATTTCTTTGCAGCCTGATATTTCAAACTTATATTTTTGATCTAACTGAATTCATAGTTTGAAATACATAAGCTCTACGACACTGGGTTCCAGAGATATAGGGTTTAGAAAATTAGAGTTTGTGGCAAAGACTCAATTTCTTTCTCAAGTTTCTGAAAATACAAATTTGAAGCAAGACAAATCTGTGAAAAAAAATCCTGTTTTTATCTGGCTGCGCCCAACTCCTTAAAGGGACCGTTCACTTTTTTGGGTAATTTCAGGGTAAACTAAACATCCTATCAGCTATTCATCGGTAATAGTCTTACATTTCGGAGAAAAAGCCGATTTTTCGTTCAGAATTTGAGCGCAAAGGAACGGTTCCTTTCTATACACACTATTTGATGTTTTTTTCAGTAACAACAGTTTGTTAGCTTAAAAAGGCTTTATTTTAGACCAAGATTAAAATCAATCATTCAAATGGATAAAATAAAATTAAAAGTTTCAGCCTTTGTGGGTAAACCTGTTTCTGGACTATTTCCATAAAGTAAACTGATTGTTTAGAGAACGGAGCTGCTATTTGTGTTGTGAAGGATAGCCCCCCATTTATTTACTCCGACTACTCTAAACATTGGATTATTATTCTCACCATAATGGGTCGAGTTATGCAAAAGGTAAACTATATGTTTAATAACTAATGAGAGCGGATTGTGAAATACAAACCAAGAATTAGGATTATGTTAATTAATGAAACATTTCCTCGGCACATCTATTTTTTTATAGGTTTTTGGTACAGAAGTTCTGACAGAGAAGCATCAGATTTGGTTTGTGGTTTCGATCTTTCTCATTTTCCAGTTCATCCTCTTCCTTAGTCTGGTCTAGAGATCTAATCTCCTCCTGTTCTCATCTTTATCTTGACGTAGAATTATTCAAATGTACAAAGGGTAAATGCTAATTTAATCCTAATCTTTATACTACATACTTAGGTTTGAGTCCATCTTTATACTCATCTGATTATGCCATCCTTATTATCTTCAGAGTTTAAACTCAGTGCATCCTTATCTTCATAAGGATTTAGACCTAGTCCATCCGTATCTTCATTAGGGTTTAAACTCAGTCCATCCTTATCTTCATCAGGGTTTAAATTCATTCCATCCTTATCTTCATCAGGGTTTAGACTCAGTTCATCCTTATCTTCATCAGGGTTTAGACTCAGTTCATCCTCATCTTCACGAGTGTTTAGACTTAGTCCATCCTTATCTTCATGAGGGTTTAGACTCAGTCCTTCCTTAACATAGTTTTGATTCAATTTTTTCCATCCCTTTTTTTGGTCTTTTCTTGTCTCAATCTGTATTTAACCCATCCTGAGCTTTCTCCGCATCCTGAGCTTTAGCTTGATCTAAACTCAGACCATCCTTTATTCCATAATTTCTCACTAATGTGTGTATTTAAATCTATATAACAAGATATATTTTGTATTAAAAATTAATAAATAAAGGAGAGCCAATGCACCAAAATATATTTCATTTTGTATCTTTTTTTTAATACAAGATTTAGAGAGAGAGAATGTTTTATTTCTTTCATAACCCATAAAATCATTTTACTATTAAACAATTACTATCAATGCATAAGACTAAATTCCACCTTCAGATTAAATACAACGGTTTTATGTCGTCATTATAGTCTCATCTTTAGGAGATATCACTGTAGATGTGTAGAATATTTTCTATGCCTCATCAACTCTATAATTGTGTTTATTTTGAACAAAATATGTCTGCATAAAAATTATTCTCGAGATGAAAGTTCTGCAAAAGAAAATATTGAATAAGAAGATTTATATAAATGTCTTGTAATTTATCAATATACCATCGGTTCAATCCAATATCCAGATGCTGCAGGTTCAATTTATATATATTAGGGTTTAGGAGAACTATGATTCTATATCTGGGTTCAGGAGAAGTATGATTCTATATCAGGCTTCAGGAGAATTATGATTCTATATCAGGGTTCAGGAGACATATGATTCTATATCAGGATTCAGGAGAACTCTGATTCTATATCAGGGTTCAGGAAAAGTATGATTCTATACCAGGGTTCAGGAGAACTATGATTATATAGTAGGGTTCAGGAGAACTATGATTATATACCAGGGTTCAAGAGAACTATGATTATATACCACAGTTCAGGAGAACTATAATTCTATACCACAGTTGAGGAGAACTATGATTCTATACCACAGTTGAGGAGAACTATGATTCTAAATCACAGTTCAGGAGAACTATGATTCTATACCACAGTTCAGGAGAACTATGATTCTAAATCACAGTTCAGGAGAACTATGATTCTATACCACAGTTCAGGAGAACTATGATTCTAAATCACAGTTCAGGAGAACTATGATTCTATACCACAGTTCAGGAGAACTATGATTCTAAATCACAGTTCAGGAGAACTATGATTCTATACCACAGTTCAGGAGAACTATGATTCTAAATCACAGTTCAGGAGAACTATGATTCTATACCACAGTTCAGGAGAACTATGATTCTAAATCACAGTTCAGGAGAACTATGATTCTATACCACAGTTCAGGAGAACTATGATTCTAAATCACAGTTCAGGAGAACTATGATTCTATACCACAGTTCAGGAGAACTATGATTCTAAATCACAGTTCAGGAGAACTATGATTCTATACCACAGTTCAGGAGAACTATGATTCTAAATCACAGTTCAGGNATATGACATTGGTTAGGATTCAGGAGAAAACTGTATCCTAAAAATAACATGACATTGGTTAGGATTCAGGAGAAAACTGTATCCTATAAATAATATGACATATGACATTTGAATTTAGGATCCTGATTATAATATTTCAATGATTAGGAAAAGTAGAAAAATAGATCCTAAAAACAAAATAGTAGTAAAATGACTTTAAGTGCAATTTCAAGTGAAACTCCTTGTAAATTGGACAATGCCCGATTCACAACGGTACCTGTAAAAGCTTTGTCTGGTCAAGTTTGAATTAGAATTTTTATAATTTATTTAACACGTTTGAACCACAATCTCTTTCACACTATAATGATGAGATGAAGGTTCCGTTGTGAATTGGGGTTCGAATCTTTGCATGGAGGGTCACATTACGGTTACAGAATCTTTAAGGACTGTTTTCTAGCAACAATATCTGTATAATAACTGTGGAGAACTAATCTTTGTTTGTATTGTTAGACCAGGGTTAATCCTTTTGGAAATCTAATGATTATCCCAACTCTGAAACTAGATTGAGATATATTAACTTTTTCCTGGATTACTGCCGCAAAATTGGATTGTTTATTACTCCAACCCTGCAGCTAGATTTAATATATATTAAAGCATATCTTCTCACTTATACATTGTAAAACTATCTAATCTTAAAATGCTTTAGATCATGCCCACACCAGGAACTCCCATATCTTTGTTTACAAGAAAGTGTACTGCATTTTCGCATTTTCTGGAAGGATCACCAGCTAGATATATAAAGACTAATCAGCTTTCACAAGCTTGGCTAAGTAGGCCTAAAGTCGTACCAGCACATTGATATATTGCTATATTGATACACAAATTGATACACAAATTGATACACAAATTTGTTGACTGCCATCTGACCACCACTGGTTGCATATCATACCCATTCAGGGGTTAAGTTTTACAATTTTGAAAAAAAAATCTCATTTTTACCATAAACATAACATTTATGAATTTAGTCAATTTTTAATTGTTTTGTATTTCGTATCCTAAGGATCCTTAAATATCCCTTCAGATAGATGTCCCCTAATTGGTCGTGTACTCCAGCTGTACACAATGCAACACACTGTGGAAAATATCGCATATTCTAGATTAATAGATCATTAGTAAATGTACTCTCTGATCTCTGAGGAGGAGTAGAACAAAAATCTGATCGAAAAGAAAAACTTAAAATGTTTACATTCCTCCTACAAACTGCAGTAAAACGCATGTGTATTTGTACAGCTGTACATGTACATGTTTTTAGTGAAAAATAATATTGAATGGTTTCAGTACTGTACAGTGGTAAATGTTTACAATTTTGTACATGGTCCCAGCAGTTCTAGGAACCAGTAATTCACGGTTCCATTACTGAACAGTAGTTCATGGTTCCAGTACTAAACATTAGTGCATTCTTCCACCACTGTAAAGTAGATTCTATAAGTAAAACAATGTTTTTATTCAGTTATTTCTGTAAAGAACGCAAATCTTATTGTGTTAGAAGTTCCGTTAAAAAGCGACATTTATTATTAAATATTTAGTCCCTTCTGAGTTTAGTCCCTCGATTCTAAAAAGAATTTAAATGTGAGATGAAACTGTGATGTATATCTGACATTCCAGGCAGATTCAAGCCTCCTACACTTTCAGGGCCCTAGATTTAGCTGTAGAAAAGGTACAAAATATTTGACACATGTTGGTTACTTACTAGAATATAAGATAGGTAGGTTGAGGAGTTGGTTACTAACTAGAATATAAGATAGGTAGGTTGAGGAGTTGGTTACTAACTAGAATATAAGGTAGGTAGGTTGAGAGCTAGAATGTAAGGTAGGTAGGTTAAGGAGTTGGTTACTAGCTAGAATGTAAGGTAGGTAGGTTAAGAAGTTGGTTACTAGCTAGAATGTAAGGTAGGTAGGTTAAGAAGTTGGTTACTAGCTAGAATGTAAGGTAGGTAGGTAGGTTGAGGAGTTGGTTATTAGCTAGAATGTAAGGTAGGTAGGTTAAAAGGTTGGTTATTAGCTAGAATGTAAGGTAGGTAGGTTAAGAAGTTGTTTACTAGCTAAGTTATAAAGGGTGTTGGTTGCTGAGCGGAATTTTGCATTTTCTCTTTTCTCTAAAATTTATTAGTTGAGAACAAACATTACATCTAGTTTTAAAGAAAATAAATCTTTGTTATATATGTTTCAGGGCTCCAGGTCCCCGTTATACCAGAGGTAGATAGATAAATCTAAATATGGAGAGAGGATTAATGATGGAAGATGTCACTGTTTTCTATTCAGTATAGCCTAGTTTCTAGAGTATTAAACCTGTTACTTGTAATATTAATGGATCCTCTCTCCCTTGTATTCTTCTTCCTATTCCTGGTTTCGAAGAATATATCTCAAGGTTTAACCCATCCTCAACCCAGCTCCCAGTATGCTCACATATCAAGCAATAGAAGTGAACGAGACAAAGATCAAATAAATACTCTCCACCATTTAAGGTCACAACGGAATTGAGTCTTTGTCACAAACTCAAATTTTCTAATCCCTATATCTTTGGAAATTGATGTTGTAGACTTTTGATATTTCAAACTAAGATAATTTGATGCAACAGAATTCATAGTTTGAAATATCTAAGGTCTACGACAATGGGTTGCAGAGATATAGGAATCAGAAAATCAGTGTTTGTGTCAAAGACTCAATTCCTTACAGAAGCAATTAGAGAATAAAGTTCCTGACTAATCTTTTTAAAACAGTCTCTTTTTTAGCAGAAGTTTCATCTTAATCGGAAAATGAAATAAACTGAATTCATTTCCCCCGGTAGAATTCAATTTCCATTACTTTCTCTTGTGAAACATAAAAATGCCTGAAAGAAATATTGCATGATACTAGCACTCTCTGTACTCCTATACCTGTGTTTTCTTTTTTAATCCAAGATTCACTTTCATCAGATTTGGATTATTTTGGAACCAGGAAACAGTAGGTTTGGGAAAGGGTTTATGCATAAAATAATTATTAGATTAGAAAGAGATGTTACCGAAAAGAGGAATAGAATTCTAGACATGCATGTGGAACTTTTCAGAACCGTATACCAATAGTAAAAAAAACTCTGCATATTTCAACATTTTCATTGGATCAAAAATATTGGCTCGTCGGAAAAGTTCAGGGTGTCCCAAAAGTTCCTTTCATGGTACTACGGCTCTCATCTTCGGTCGATTTAGTTATTTTTGTATATTTTCTAAGAAATGAATTGTAAGCAATATTTCGAATAGAAATATTATTAAAATAAGAATTAGTGAAATTCATTTATTTCAATATTTCCAATTCTTTTTGTATATTTTGTATCTATTATTTTATAATTTTTATATTTTCTTCATATTATCTCGATACCAATGTTCAACCAAGCTAAAATGGCAAACTTCAAGCTGTCAAAACTTTCTTAATAGCAGAACCTAACAGAGCGTTTTTTGTAACACCCTGTATAAAGAGCGGCTTTAAATTTATATTTTTAAAGAAAAGAAAAGTGAGAAAACAAGAATGTAAAGATTTGTGATGTTTTTAATTCCTAAATATTTTTCTCTTTTCATGATAATGTTCTTTCCAGTCTGGTTGCATTTTCATTCTTGAATTGCTGTCTGTTTCAGGCTTGTTTTCATTCCTGCTTCTAAATAATTTATTTCTAGGACCTGGACCGATATTGGAGAAGTGTATGTTGAATCTAGGATTCCCAGAAACTTGGAGAAAAACAAGTCCGATGGAGAAACATTTAGTAACGAAAATAATTATAAGTATTCAAATTTTGAATCTACAATAAAGCCACTTGAGATTAGGGCGACAGATTATCCTATCGAGCATACAGATCTCCAGTTTACAGAGGTTCCTGGAGATTCCTCTAAGTTTACAGGTGTACCTGAAGATTCCTTTAATCCTGATAATATTTTTCAGTTTACAAATATACCCAGAGAAACCTTACCTCAGGAGAAGTATGAAGAAACCCAGAATGTTTCTCCTACCCTTGAGAAACTGAAGGATATCAAGTTTATAAAAGTACCTGGAGTATCCTCTCAACAACGTCTACCTGTCCCCCCAGATATGCAGCAATATTACAAAGGTAAGATGTGTTAAATCCTAGAGATCTGAAAAATAGAAAAACAACTCTTCAATGATTAAATAGCAAAGTAATTAATTTTAATAAAGAGCTGGGGATAAAATACACTTCAAAACTTGATGAAATAAAAAAGATAAGAAAGAAATATTAAAGTTAGATCCAACCAAGCTGAAGTTGGATTACAAAGCTGAAACTTTAATTAGATTCTTTTTATAAGTTTTGTTCATGAGAGGAAATTATTAAGTTGATTTAGTTTAATTGATTAGATTCATTTACGAGACAGTAATTGACAGTTTTTTATATAGAACGTTAATAAACACTATATCCTAGCATCTTTGTACGATTTCATCCGTATTTTTGTATCCCTGTATCATTGTACAATTATATTCTGTGTACTTATTTTCTTGTTATCCTGTATCCTTGTATCCTTGGATCCTTGTATCCTTCTATCCTTGTATCCTTGTATCCTAGTATCCTTGTATCCTTGTTTTCAAGAATCCTTGTTTCATGTATCCTTTTATTTCAGTATCACTTTTTCCGTGTATCATTTGTCCGTGTTTCCATTAAGCCATGTATTTTTGTATCCTTGTATCCTTGAATCCTTGTATCCTTGAATCCTTGTATCCTTGAATCCTTGTATCCTAGAGAAGGTTGGATCTGGGAGAAGAGTTGGACGGCAGATAGTTCCCGGAGTATATAGTTGCGGACATCAGGAAAGGATCAAACTTTGAATTTATTGGTTTCAACAGAGTTTTTTTTTGTAAAATTTTTGAATTGGAATTAAGTCTTTGAAACAAATTTTCTAATCCCACTGTTTGCACAGACCTCATTTCTTTCAAACTATAAATTATGTTAGATCAAATAATTCAAGTTTTAAATTTCAAAGGTTTAAAGCATCAGGTTGCAAAGATTAGAAAAGGATTAGAAAATTTGGTGCACAGATTTAATTCCAATTAATTTTTTTTACAAAAATAAACTCTGTTGAAACCCAAAAAGAGACAGGCTTAAAGGGGCTGAAAACGTATTTGAAGTGACCCCAATTGTTGGTATTTCCGACTCACGATAGTACCCTCAAAATCTTTGTCTGATTAAGAATAATTAGAAATTCGTTTTTCTCATTTATTGTTTTCGAAAACTGTATATTTTTATATGTGCTTTCTCTGCAAAAGTGACTTGTATATTTCTTGCTTCAGAAACGATAGAGAAATTATCAGAAAAAATACTTTTTTCAAACCAGCAAAACGACGCATTTATGATCTAAATAAGATTACCGTTGTGAATTGCGCATGACCTTCATTAAATTTAACGTTTTTAGAGTAAAGATATTTTTTTTCATCAAGAAACCTTAAAAAAAGTACGATAAAATAATGTTAAGGGAAGTGATACATTTATAAATATGATCAACCCGCACTATCCCAGTCATGACAGGTTAGTGGAGAAGTTAAATTTCATTTAATCCATTCAACACATTCATTCGTTTATTTTGCAAATAATAAATGAAAATCTTTAAAACTTTTTGGTTTTAAGTTTCAGATTGTCTCATGAAGAAAAATGCTATCTGTCTTGACTAAATAACAATGTGACAAAATTGGTGTACATTTTTTTCTATTGAAATGTAGTAGAAAATAACTAATTGTGATTTTTAGAAAAGGAATTCAGTTTTTTCCACAAACTCAAATTTGCTAATCCCTATATCTGTGCAACCTGATGGCTTTGCAACTTTTATTTTTCAAACTTTGACTATTATTTTTATTATATTATTTGACCTAACAGAATTGAAAGTTTGAAATATCTAAAGTGTACGACATTGGGTTGCAAAGATATAGGGATCAGAAAATCTGAGTTTGTGGCAAAGAATCAATTCCTTTCAGTATAGGGTATATAAAATCTAAATAATATAAAAAATGGATAATAAAACCTTTAAAAGTCAAGAGAGGACAAAAGTTAAAGGGATAGGAGTCGGCCGAGTAAACATCTATGCAGCGGATATTTGAGGAGTTAAGTCACTGTGATTTAATGGTCTCAAACTCTCAAGCGAAAATCTATGAGAATTTTGCCAATTACTTCTTATAAAACCCAAAGCTAGCAACATGTGATTTAAAATTTACATGTAAAGCATAAGTAAATTATAGCGGTAAAATCAAAGCCCAAGGCGTTGCGACACTTCAAAGTCGACCCTGTCTTAAACATTGATGCGACTTTTTACAAGCAGCCTGAATCTATGTGAAGTTTGAATTAGTTTTCTGAGCAGAGTGTTCTATTATTACAAGATCTCGTCTATACTTTTCTGTTCAATAATACCACAGAATTATTTTAACTTTTATACTTTCGACCTTTCTTCTGAGAATACTAGAGATAACCAGAGGGTTGGGGAGGGGTACCAGGAAGGTGTTTAAAATAATGCAAAATTAAATCAGAAAAAATTGAAGGGATTTAAATTTTTTTCTCATTTTCATGGTTTTTAAAAATTTTTTAATCTTAGATCTAAAGTTCAATTTAAAAAAAAATATGGACTTGTTAACATTTTTCCCGCATTTAAAATTACTTTTTCATAAAACGAAAAGAAAAGATAAAGCTTATTATTTGTAAAAATTAAAATCATTTCCAGGGTGGCTGGAACATGTCAATTCCGTATGTTGGTTGAGGATTCATCAGTCTGTCAGGTAGATAAAGATTAACGTGAAGGGTTGACAGTGGATGTTTTTGGTAGACATTGGTAAAATTTGGCAAACATAGGCAATACATAGAAAACATATAGGCATAGATATAAAGTAAACAACGCTGAAGGTTGTCCATAACCAACATAGGTTAACATAGGTTGACTTTGGTAGACAAACTTAGTTTATGGCTGACATAGGTAAGCAAAGGAAGACATAAGAAAACAATTAGACATAGTAGACATAGTAAAATTTTTGATGCTGGTTATTAAATGCCCCTAAACTGGATTTTGACATCAGTCCTGCTTTGAAAGATCTGAATCACTTTTCTTAAAATCCTATTAAAGACAATTATTACAGGTTCGGGTTGATTTTGTTGATACCGAGATGTTAGCTCCCACAGCTGGAGATTGTAAAGATCAATACCTGGTTGTATCCGGGTCTATCTGGCCTTCAGGTGGGATTATTTAAAGAACCATTTCACGGTCATTCAGTTGTATTGGTTTTAGTCAGCAAGTCCACTTCACTTTCAAATATTAAAAGTAGATATTTCGTATTTACCGTACATTTTGTGCTAGTGTTTTAAATATTAAAGCATCGTATTACAATTGTCCTGATGTTTTTCAAATAGTAGATCAGATTAGCGAAATTTTTTTTTTCTAAAATAGTTTAGACATACTTTGCTCTATCTAGTTTGGTGTTTATTGAAGAATCTAATTTGATACATTTTAGGGTTTCATAGACTATGCGGAATAAACCCTGATCAGCACTTCTACCTTCATCTGGACAAGGATATTGGGTTCCAACATCTAGACTTTACAATAACATCTGTATCTTCAGGTATACTTGGAGCAAATTCAGGAATTCTTTAGATATTTAAACAAAGGTTGAGATTTCTAAATATACTTTATAAAATAATATTACAATAGACTGTACATAATAATATTTTAAGAAAATAAGTGATCTTGGCGAAACATTTGATCGACGATAGCAAAAAATTTGCTTAAAACGAGCGTTCCTCAAATATTTCATGAGGCAATACTTCTACAGATTCATTTCTTTGGTTAAATTTTATAATTTTACCAACAGAATTATCAAAGTAAAATATATTATTGAGTTTAAGATTTGTATGAAAAATCTTTTTTTAAGTAATGCATACTTTATTGGGTTTCAAACTGCACAAAAAGAAAACAAATTCGATAAGTGTTATATGTCAAATTGAATAGGAAGCATAATGTACTAAGTTACTAAAATTATTTAACGATATGATTTAAAGATATATGTAAATTTTCAAACTATGATAATATTTTTGCTATAAGATTTAAAGATTTACACAATACATATATTAAAATCAACACACATATTAAAATAATATATTAAAATCAACACATATATTATTTGAAAGAAAGAAGAACTGAAGAGATATCATATTTTGTTATATATTATTATTTATAAATGGCAAATAATGTATTTTTTTATCTAAATTATTCAAACCTGAACATTTTAGGAATTCCTTACAAGTTTGGCCTATGGATTACTCAAATAAGTAAGTTATTTATATTAACATCGATGAAATGAGGAAGTGATAAAAACCAAAAAAAATACTTGAAGCAGCATTTTAAAAAAAATCCAATTTTTATATTTGACGACGCACGTATGTATTCATCCGGGCCGTCCAAATTTTAACCCCAAATTTTTAAAACCTGATGGTGTAAATATTTGATATTTCAAACCTAGATTGTTTGTTCTAAAAGCAATGTCGGGTACTTGAGCTAGTATTATATAAAGGTTGTGGAACAGATTCATCTGTAATGGCTCCTGCAGGATGTACACAATATCATTTTGGTAATCAGGTAAACTACCATTCAATATATTCAAGAGATTAAAGGGACTCTACGCTTCAAGTACAAGAGAAACTGCAGTGTGTATAAATACCGCGTTCTTAAGTCTTCATTTCTGAACATAGTTGAAATACAAGGTTATTTACAATAAATGAGACTTTAGACGACGTCCTTAAATTATTAAAACTAAAATAATTTAATGATAAAAACTGTACAATACTGCTTTAAATAGTATTTTAATGGAAAATTAAATGATTTGTTAAAAAAAAGAAAGGATTTAAGCAACAGGGACCCAGAAATGTAAGTTAAAAGATATAAAATAGATATTGTACAACAGAGACCCAGAAATATAAGTTTAAAGATAAAATAGATATTGTACAACAGGGACACAGAAATGTAAGTTTAAAGATAAATAGATATTTTACATTCGTTTCCGAAGTCTCTTCCTGTACGAGAAACCTTTTAGTTAAAGAAGTGTACTGCAATTTCTGGGACATTAAATTTAATTTCACTCAGACTGAGTTTGGTTTTGTTCCTTCCAGAAACTGTAAAAACTAATTTTCTGAATAAAGACATGGGGTTTCCTGGTTCATCTGTTTTGGTTGAAATGATCTTTTATTGGAAGACGACATATGTAAACACATTCAACTTTCAAATCTTTTTAGATTATTAAAAAATGTTTATTCAGGGAAGTTTGAAATCTTTCAATTTCGAGGGGGTTCAGTACCTAAACAACCAGGTTAACAATTTATTAAAAAAATCCACTTTTGAAAGGTCGAGTGACTCAGAAATACTTTTGGAATCGTATTCGAAACTATTTAATGTTGATTCTCTTTTTCTATGTATAACTGGACATTTTTCTGAGCCATCAAACCCCCTTTTTAAAATACAGAAATCAAGCCCTTTATTGTACAAAATTATGTACAAACAGTGTATAATATTTGTATTATAATTTTTAATGCTAGAACTATAAAATCTGCATAAGATCGGAGCAGGGGGCCTGCTTTGGAGAATTTAGGTAAAGAATGCTTAGAACAAATCTTTGAAAACGTTTTTGTTTGACTTAGTAATAAACAGCAGACATGTAAATCAAAAGAATAATAAATTTTGCTTCTGCACTGAGTTTGTATTTTTTCATAAACTCCAGACAAAACTTTGGGAGTCCAAAACATATAGAGAAACAAAATATTGGACATTTAAGGCGTAAACGACGAATAAAGTGGAGAAAATATAAGATTAACTTAAGATATTGGACAAACAGCAGTTGTTTAAATAGATTAAAGAAATTATAAGATCATGATATTTATGTTGTCTAGAGATAACACAGACTAGTTTATGTTAGAAGATCATGATATTTATGTTGTCTAGAGCTGACACAAACTAGTTTATGTTAGAAGATCATGATATTTATATCATCTAGAGCTGACACAAACTAGTTTATGTTAGAAGATCATGATATTTATATTATCTAGAGCTGACACAAACTAGTTTATGTTAGAAGATCATGATATTTATATTATCTAGAGCGGACAAAAACTAGTTTATGTTAGAAGATTAAGATATTTACATTATCTAGAACTGACACCAACTAGTTTATGTTAAAAGATCTTGATATTTATATTATCTAGAGCTGACACAAACTAGTTTATGTTAGAAGATCATGATATTTATATCATCTAGAGCTGACATAAACTAGTTTATGTTAGAAGATCATGATATTTATATTATCTAAAGCTGACACAAACTAGTTTATGTTAGAAGATCATGATATTTATATATTATCTAGAGCGGACAAAAACTAGTTTATGTTAGAAGATTAAGATATTTACATTATCTAGAGCTGACACAAACTAGTTTATGTTAGAAGATCATGATATTTATATTATCTAAAGCTGACACAAACTAGTTTATGTTAGAAGATCATGATATTTATATTATCTAGAGCAGACACAAACCAAGTTATGTTAGAAGATCATAATATCTATATTATAAAAAGCTGACACAAACCAGTTTATGATTTATATTATCTAGAGATGACACAAACTAGTTTATGTTAGAAGATCAAGATATTTATGTTATCTAGAGCTGACACAAACCAAGTTATGTTAGAAGATCATAATATCTATATTATATAAAGCTGACACAAACCAGTTTATGATTTATATTATCTAGAGCTGACACAAACCAGTTTATGTTATAAGATCATGATATTTATATTATCTAGAGCGGACAAAAACTAGTTTATGTTAGAAGATCAAGATATTTACATTATCTAGAGCTGACACAAACTAGTTTATGTTAGAAGATCATGATATTTATATTATCTAGAGCTGACACAAACTAGTTTATGTTAGAAGATCATAATATCTATATTATATAAAGCTGACACAAACCAGTTTATGATATTATATAATTTAGAGCTGATACAAACCAGTTTATGTTATAAGATCATGATATTATATAATTTAGAGCTGACACAAACCAAGTTATGTTAGAAGATCATAATATCTTTATTATATAAAGCTGACACAAACCAGTTTATGTTATAAGATCATGATATTATATAATTTAGAGCTGATACAAACCAGTTTATGTTAGAAGTTCATGATATTATATAATTTAGAGCTGATACGAACCAGTTTATGTTATAAGATCATGATATTATATAATTTAGAGCTGATACGAACCAGTTTATGTTATAAGATCATGATATTATATAATTTAGAGCTGATACAAACCAGTTTATGTTAGAAGATCGAGATATTGATGTTATCTAGAGCTGACACAAACCAAGTTATGTTAGAAGATCATAATATCTTTATTATATAAAGCTGACACAAACCAGTTTATGTTAGAAGATCATGATATTATATAATTTAGAGCTGATACAAACCAGTTTATGTTATAAGATCATGATATTATATAATTTAGAGCTGATACAAACCAGTTTATGTTAGAACCAGTTCAACAGAGTTCAACAAATAAAAACAAAAGGTAAATTGATAATATAAATACTTATATATATACATATATATATGCGTATATATTTATATAAATTAACCCTTTTATATGTAATTTTATCATCTTGGACGTACAAATAAGCGGTTTCAGTTTAAAATGCACAAAATATTTTGTCTGGTATAGTTCTGTTTATCTAGGATAAAGGATGGGTCTGGTATAGTTCTGTTTATCTAGGATAAAGGATGGGTATGGTATATTTCTGTTTATCTAGGATAAAGGATGGGTATGGTATATTTCTGTTTATCTAGGATAAAGGTTGGGTCTGGTATAGTTCTGTTTATTTAGGATGAATATTTTGTCTGGTATACTTATCTTTAAATAGGATGAAGGTTGGATCTGGTATGGTGCTGTTTATCTAGGATAAAGGTTGGATCTGGTATAGTTCTGTTTATTTAGGATGAATATTTTGTCTGGTATAGTTCTCTTTATCTAGGATAAAAGATGGGTATGGTATATTTCTGTTTATCCAGGATAAAGGTTGGGCCTGGTATAGTTCTGTTTATTTAGGATGAATATTTTGTCTGGTATACTTATCTTTAAATAGGATGAAGGTTGGATCTGGTATAGTGCTGTTTATCTAGGATAAAGGTTGGATCTGGTATAGTGCTGTTTATCTAGGATGAAGGTTGGATCTGGTCTAGTTCTATTTATCTAGGATGAAGGTTGGATCTGGTATAGTGTTGTTTATCTAGGATGAATGTTGGATCTGGTCTAGTTCTGTTTATCTAGAATGAAGGTCGGGTCTGGTCTAGTTCTATTTATCTAGGATGAAGGTTGGGTCTGGTATAGCTCTGTCTGCTGCTGGAGATGAGAACTGTGCTAGGGATTATCTTCTTATCCCTGGAGGAACATCAAACCTTACTCTCAGCAAGAATACTCTTAGTATAGACAGGTAAATCTTCAAAATTGTAAAGTAAGATGTTCTTGAAATGTTTTTGAGATATTAATTTTAATTTAACTTTAAAAGATATTAGGATAAAATTGTGATACCGTGTCATCTGTACACTCAGATATTATAGTTAAATATCCTGGATCTACTATATATTTGTACATCTAGCTAGATATTATAGCTAAAGATACTGGATATACTGTATATTTGTACACCTAGATATTATAGCTAAAGATACTGGATTTATTGTATATTTGTACACCTAGATATTATAGCTAAATATCCTGGATCTACTGTATATTTGTACACCTAGATATTATAGCTAAATATCCTGGATCTACTGTATATTTGTACACCTAGATATTGTAGCTAAATATCCTGGATCTACTGTATATTTGTACACCTAGATATTATAGCTAAATATCCTGGATCTACTGTATATTTGTACACCTAGATATTGTAGCTAAATATCCTGGATCTACTGTATATTTGTACACCTAGATATTGCGGAGGATTTCTGAACCCTAAGAATGGAGAAGAGATTGGGGCGTCAGTCTACTCAAGGTACTTTAAATTTTTTTTTTCTCAAAACGCTGGAAATAACATTGTTTTTGTAGAATATCCTCCAGTGTTTTCTGGGTTCAGTTTATAACTGGTAGACCTGATATAGAAGATCATCCTAATAATCTACATGGTCCTGGAGTAAGGTATCTACCTCTCTATTTAGAATGGGTTTGAAATTGATAAAATTTATTACAAATTTCTTTTTTCTTTAGTATTTTCTAAACAAACCATGCATTTTTCCTTTTTCAGGTTGAGATATTTTCAGATAAAGAACTGCTTGAATACAGATCTGTTTAACTAAATCTTAAAAATGCAAAATAGTTTCAGGAATATTTATTCTCTAATCAGGGTTTTCTTATTAGTACACTGGACATTTATTATCTAAAGTCAGCATATTATATTATATTTTATTATCTAAAGTCAGCATATTATATTATATTTTATTATCTAAAGTCAGCATATTATATTATATTTTATTATCTAAAGTCAGCTTAGTATATTAAATTTTCTCCAATCTTTAACACCAAAAGTAGCATATTAGCCTTAAACATTTTTGAAAAATGATTTTTTTAAATTTCTGTTTGGCCCTGAAAATCCTAAGAAATTGAGTCTTTGCCACAAACTCAAATTTATGAATCCTTATATCTTTGCAACCTGACAATGTAAACCTTTAATATTTTATACTGAGATTAATTAATCCAATATAATTCATATTTGAAATATTAAAGGTTTCCGACACAAAGAAAATCAGAGTTTGTGGTAAAAACTAAATCCCTATGAAGCTATGCACAATCCAATGTGATTTAGGACATCCTTGTATTACAATTTGAAATTTAATCCTGTCACTTAGTTGTAAAATTGTTAATTGCTCATTTTATTTATTTTTTAATTATGTTTAAGAAATGTCAAATTTAAAGAGACTGTCTAGTGTCTACGCAGTTTTAAGTGATTAATTAAAGTAAACTAATTATTTAAAACAATTCACTTTAAACCTTGTAATTAAAGAAGTGAAAATGGAAATATATTTGCCTGTTTATTTCTAAGAAACGACTCGTGGAATTTCTATAGCATGCTAAGGATAGTTTAAAATTTCTCTACGTTAAGGAAGTGAATTATTGGCAACTGGAGCTTAATTCTGAAATATCGCAGTTCTGTAAAATTTTAATTTTCCGTGAGAAAAATAAGAATATTTCCGTCATGGATGATCAGATAATGGTTAAAATAATACCGTTGAAATCCCTCCTACAGTTCATTTAAAGGGACTGTAGACAATATTTCTGGTGACCCTCCTTTCCCAATCACAACAGTTCAAACAAACCTGTTTCTGCTTTCTACAGGTTTATTTCCGGATTTTTTGCCAAAGAAACCATGGGTGAAATTATGAGAATCAAACACTTTTCAAGACAGAAAAATTGGGTAATCTCGTGAATCGGTCATATCCCAATTAGAATAGAGGGTTACTAACAATTAGAACTTTATTAGAATTATTTTTTAATCAAAATTTGATTTTTTGGTTTCTCCAAAATTTATTTTTGTTTCCTTGAAAATTACCATTATTACAAAATACATTTTTTGCACTATTTTCTCTTCATTGGATAGATTCCAGTCTCAGGAGTTCTGATGATCCTTGAGGTTTAGTTGCTCCTACTCCTGGGTTGGAAACCCGTCTCTCCACCAGGGGACCTGGAGGAAGACGAGGACGAAATTGAACATAGTTGTTTTCTATTCTTGAAGACGAGGATAAATATTCGTCCTGACTCAGCATCGACATCTCGTCCTCAAATGGTCCGGATCTAAGAGTAAGACAAAACATGTTTTCTCAGTTGTCAGGCAATAGATGATTCAAGAATAAAATATCCTTTTATGATATTAGTGGCACTTATATATAAAAGGCCTGTAGATAAAATTGTTAATGACCTTGATAAAGTGAGCACCGTGTTTAAATTAATATTTTCAAGGCAATAATTTGTTGGTCAATCTCCCGAAAACACCTGGAACCTAGCGAATGGTGGCTCATTTTGTCCGTTCTACAATTTCTAAAATTCAGGATATTTTATCTAAAAACGCCGTTGCTAAAAATTCGTATGAAAATTATTATTTTCTGAGACTTTCGGAAAATAGATAAAAAAATATTTTTTTAATATAATACAGCTTGCAAACATAATTATCAACAGATGCGAGTGTTTTTTACTGACAATATACGTAAGCACTACGTCATCCTTAAAAAGAGAATTAAATGTTTAACGTGCAACCATTGTTAATCGGACATGCTAATATAATGAAGGATCTCTTTAAAGATGCTTTCTCACCTTAAACTATCTCTTCTCCATTCAGACCGTCCTCGTTGAGTTTCCAAATATTCTCCGTGTGCACTCGGAACCTGGTCCCGCATACTTTCATACCTGTATCCTGGTTCAACAAACCCTCCTCGGAGTCGGGATTCATCAATAGTGGAAACCCGGGATCCTTCATTTTCTAACAAATAAAATTGTTATTAAAATAGGTTTGCTTATTTTCTCATTCTAATCTACAGGTTTTTTTTTGTCGTATTTGTTCATAAAAGAAAATCCAACCAGCCTTCTAAGAAGAACAGAAACGTTTTTTGATTTGCATAATAGCTCATACCATGTTTTTAATGGGGATTACGAAATGTTAGCTAAAAATAAACCAAACCTAGAATGAGTCCGTCCTTGTCTGTGTTCTGTAGAGCAAGTTTAGATCTGTAGAAGAGCGCAAGGATGACTAGAGCTAGAACTAGTAGGATTAGTAGGACGCACAACCAGAGTAAGGACGTTTCTGCCAGGGATATATTCTCCCCCAAGCTCTCAGACGCAAATCCAGATAGAAGCTTAGAAGCCTAAGAGATAAAATATTCTAGTCTGTTTATGCCGACGAGGTTCTTAAATTTCCGCGTCTGTAGTATCCAAAGAAAAGAAACTAAACCTGAATATTGTTTGTAGCAGTGCTAGAGTTCCAGTTACATCCAGCATTAAAGCAGCAGTAAACAAGAGCACCATGATGCAACCTCTCTCTACCAATCATCTGAGCCATACTATTCCTACACACAGGATAGGATAAAGAAAAAAGGATGAAGAATGAAGGATTAAAGAGTGAAGGATGAAGAATGAGGGATGAAGAATAAAGCATGAAGAATAAAGAATGATGAATAAAGGATGAAGAATAAAGGTTGAAGAATTAAGGATGAAGAATAAAGGATGAAGAATAAAGGATGAAGAATAAAGTATGAAAAATAAAGGAGGAAAAATGAAGGATGAACAATAAAGGATGAAGAATAAAGGATGAACAATAAAGTGTGAAGAATAAAGGATGAACAATAAAGGATGAACAATAAAGTATGAAGAATAAAGGATGAAGAATAAAGGTTAAAGAATAAAGGAAGAATAAAGGATAAAGAATAAAGTAGGAAGAATAAAGGATTAAGAATAAAATATGAAGAATGAAGGGTAAAAAATGAAAATTGAAAGATGACAGATGAAAGATGAATGATAAATTGTGCAGGATGAATAATGAAAGATTGCAGGATAAGTATGAAGAATGAAGGATAGCAGGATGAATATGAAGAATGAATGTTTGCAGGATGAATATGACGAATGAAGGATGAAGGATTGCAGGATCAATATGAAAGATAAATTTAACCTGTAGGTTTCACTAAGACAAAGAGAATATGGAACTGTTCCTTGATGATAAACTTCTCCTAAATATTTACAACATATAAAAATAAACTTTATTTTATTTCTATTTCCCTTTATTTAAACTTTATTAAACCTCAAATTTTACTTTATTTTAATTAAATAATTATAAACCTAACAACCATGGATTTTAAAACTTAATGAAAACCAATATAAGTATTAAAGGAAAGGTAAGGTTTATCGTCAGTTCACAGTTCTATCATACATCGGGGGCCTTGTTTTGTCACGGTGATTAAAACGTCCCGGTTAAAATATGAAAAGTTCATTTCTTACAAAAACAGTATGTTGTTCTCACATGACAGATCTACTTTCCCAAACCTGACTTTACCAACTTACAAACCTGAGCTTGATGTGACTAAACTACAGACTGCTCCGGGATCAGGAGGTAACCTGTTCTCTGGTATCCTTCCGGCAAATCCATCTCCGGGTTTAGGACAAGGAGTGGACCCGGAGAATTGAGAGCATTGGAAGCAGAACCCGTAGTTGACAGGGATAAGGCAGATAAAAAAGAGAATAATACCATTCCTGGAAAAATAAGTAATATTAAATTTATGTTCGATATCTTCATATATCTGAGAAATAATATTTCAACTTACATTTTGAACTGTGTAATCCTAAAGAATACATTGTTTTAAACTGAAATTTAATTTCTATTAATGATACTGAATCATCAATAAAGAACTATGTTATGATCTATGTTAAAGAATCAACTATAAGAACTAACAGGAACTATGTTAGTATGATCTATGTTAAAGAATCAACTATAAGAACTAACAGGAACTATGTTAGTATGATCTAGCAAAAAATACCAACTATTTGTAACCTAGGAGTAAAAGTGGAGAGAAAGCAATCTCAGACTTACAATTTTTAGTTATATACAGTATACACAACACACTAAAAGAAATAATAATAATGTTTTTTTTTCAAAATAAATGGTATATTTTCATGCATTATATTTTACGAAATTATGATTAATAGATTGATGTTTAATATATTTAAAAAATATGTTCTATACTACTCCGTACAAACAACATGCGTTTAAATAATTAAATAGCTAATACACACCAAGGTTAACCTTTCAACTGCAAAGAATCAATTTTTAATATATGTTTATTGTCTATAGTTAAATACCAGACATTAATGTTTTATACTATAATATATTTACAATAATTTTTAATCTTGACAAATTTTAGGTGTGTCTGAAAACTATTAAATTTAAAATCGCAATAAAAAGCAAACAGTTTCTTTTAAAATCTTCACGGTTTTTGTATGAATAATTTTTCAAAACATCCCAGGGTTTTTAACTCACCGCCCCCCCCCCTGCTCCGTAATATACAGAATAACCCACCCATCCCTTATCTGCTCCATAATGAACAGAATAAAACATTAATACATTTTTAAACTAGAACTAGACCAGACTTCGGAGGTAAATGATTAAATTAATGGTTTCCAGCAGAGGAGTTGAGAGTGGAGCTCCAGGGGGTATCCAGGAGCAAGTTTAGAACAGGAGTCGGAAAACTAGGACTGTTAGCGCCTGGGTTCGGAGCTGACAGGTGAAGAGACGAATTTATCACAAGGATTAGATTTTGCAGTATTGACTTATTTTCAGATTCATGGGGTTTTCCAAAACTGGTCGAACTGCTTTGTTTTTTAAAAGATTTAAAGGGAGTGACCGGCTAAGTAAGGTAATTGAACTGAGTATGCAGTGTTGTCGAAAACTTCTTTAGGATTCATTTGAGACATATTTCACTTTTTAAAGATCTGTAAATCCTGAGTTTGAGCGCAAATTCGACGTTCAAAACTCCTGATTTGGGGGTGGATACGCTTTCAGAATTAGTTTTTTTTTATTATTAAATAACGACAACGAAAAATAAAGTAAAAATTATACAGTAATCTAATTAGATGGCTAGGAACATATTTCACAAAAGAAATTTGTCAATAAATCTGTAAACTATAAATATCAAAATTTTATATTCCACACAAAATCCCGTAGATTATACAATCTATATAACTCTAAATCAATTATATTTATTCAATCAACAAATATTAGTCAGTGCCCTCCCCGCAAGGGTTTTTATTGTTTTACAAGGGGTTGCGAGATGCATTTGGTAAAACTAGGCATTAAGTTTTTTTGTAAACATAACACGGACCTGAGAATATATTGCATTTATCATTATTCTAACAAAATGTTTCAAAGGAACTTATCACTCGCCCCTAATTTGTATTCCCTATATCTTTGCCAACAAATGGACGATGTGGCAAAGATATTTAAGGTTTATAAAATTTGAGTACGAGGAGAGAGATCAGTTACTTTGGAGATTTTTCTTTTATTCTAAAATTGATTAAAAATGTAAAAAAATTATGTTTTCATGGTGTTCGTAACTATGAAACTCAAAATTTGGCGGATCTTTTAAATTGATTGATTTATAAAATAAGAAATATAGAAATTTTTTCCAGGTCCATTTTATCAATGTCGACCTGCTATAAACCTTCTTTAGGGTCAAAGAAGTTGCCACACAAAAAATTGGACCCAATCGGTTCGGCCGTTTTGATGTTTGTTGGACGCAAACAGTTTATATATTGATAATCGTTTGATTATTTGAAATAAATTAAGTAATGTTGCTGGAGAGGAGGAAACCAAGATCTCTGAGATTCTTCCCTACGGAGATATTCAGGTTCTATCAGGCTTAAATATAAAAACAAAGTCAGCATAACAAGAATTTATTTATTTATAAGAACTATGATGTAACCGTGAGCAAACGAGCTGGAGTAGACGGATCAGTTTCTAAGAGTAAGGACGGATCTGATAGTTTTCCTGGTCCTGCCAAAGATAAGAAAACAGCTCTACTTCTAGACAAGGTGAAATTATAACATAAAAATAAAGAATTATCGAGACTTATTTTTAATACTCTTCTAGATCATCCCTCTCCTCCATAAGTTCCATTTTATGTAGATAGATAGATAGATATAGATTTTCAGTCAAAATGTTAAGATAATCCTGTATTCTTTATTCATCTATTAATTCTAACCTTTTAATTAACACAATACTTGTTTTGAAGATAATTACCTCATCCAATAGATTCTAGAAAACAGGACAAGCATATTTGTCATCAGTTAGAGAAGAGAAACGTTCGATCTATATCAGAATAGGAAGACGACTTCTACTACTTGGACCTTTATATTCATGTGGACCGCTGTAATCTATGGACCACAATATTCCGTGGACTACTGCATTTCATAGACCCCTATATTTCGTGGACCACTGTACTTCATGGACTACTGTATTTCCTGTTTTGTCTAGATAATGTTGGCTGTCCAGCGAGCTGTAGAGGAGAACGGAGGGAGGGGAACCTCTCCTTCTCATATAGCTGCCTTTACTGCGGTAGGTTTAATATATAGCTGCCTTAACTGCGGTAGGCTTAACATATGGCTGCCTTTACTACGGTAGGTTTAATATATAGCTGCCTTTATTGTGGTAGGTTTAATATAAAGCTGCCTTAACTATGCTTGGCTTAATATATGGCTGCCTTTACTAAGGTAGGTTTAATATAAAGCTGCCTTAACTATGCTAGGCTTAATATATGGCTGCCTTTACTACGGTAGGTTTAATATATAGCTGCCTTAACTGCGGTAGGCTTAATATATAGCTGCCTTTACGACGGTTTGGCTTCACAGTGATCCAAAATATGAACGCTCTCAAGCAAAAAATCCGCCATTTTGTTAATTACTACTTTAAACAAGCTCGCTGTAGGTCTAAAAAATACATGCTAGGGCTGGACAATTCTTTAGTATGGTTAAACCAAAGGCCAATGCGTTGCAGAACTTAAAAGTCGATCAGGTCTTGAAAATTTACACATAATTCTATGGATGCCTGGATCTCTGTGGCTTATTGAGGAAGGTGTATGATGTAGCTGAATTAATAGGCAGCTGATTCTGATCTGTTTTTTTGTAAACAAAGAAAAACTAAAACCTTAATCAAATATTTATTTTCTATAGGAAAAAAAAATTTCCACGAAAATATAAAATACAAATAAATACATATTTCGACTAGCTAAGCACAACCGGGTCCCTTTATCAGTCATTTAAAGTCAGAAACCAAAAATAAATTGTGCCAAAAGTAATTTAAATGCCTCGTTTGTACATTTCTCTGGTTTCTGTTTCCACTCATGGTTTTAGTTTGATTTGAGTTGCTCCATCTTGTCTCTAAATCTTCTCACCTTGTCCTTGAGAATCTGAACCCTGAGTTCATCCGTCCTCTCCTCGACCGATTTCAAGGGAACATTATAAAACTCTGGAGTTTCTAAAGATCGAGAGAGGATAATCTGTTCAGGGTTTGAGTACTGATCTGATATTAGGGATTCGGAAGAATCAGAAAAGGTTGTATCGGAGGAGAGAGATGTTAGGTTTTGTAACTTCTCCAGGTCTAGTGAAACCCTCCAACCGTCCTCATCCACCTCAACCTCGTCTACAGCAGATCCGAATCTTCTCATTAGCATGCTAGTCTCGTCTGACCTGTCTGTTAAAGACGATAACCAAGGATTCAGTCCCGTCCCATCATAATCGTCCGATCCAACCCTGTCCTGTTCAGCTCCTTCCGCAAAACCCATCTTTCTAGGATTATAAATGTGTTAAACCTTATCACTCTGTTTATCACAAGTTTTATTAAACTTCACATAAGGTAGTCAAAAAGCAACAGTTCTTAAACAGAGTTAAAGTTGGCTCTAAATGAGAAAGAAATAAGAATGCAGAAAAGTTCAAAAAACAATTTTTAAACAGGCTTTACTTCTAATTTTTAATCTATATAAATTGGCTGAAATTTGAGCAGGGAACCTATATGGGTATCACGGGAGTAAAAAAGGTTTCAAATTTTTTAATAAATTTTCAAAAATAATGAAAGTATAAACCTATTGTTGTTTGTAACAAAAATATTCAATTGTTTGTAATTAATAAAAACAAATTTATTCAGATTTATCCTTGTAGATTCCATTAAATAGTGAACAGAGCGTAAATTGAATATTTAAACACTAAATAACTTACTTGAGGTGTAGGTAAGGACTCCTATTGTACTGCGAGGGAGCCCTGTACTGGTAGGAGTGTGGAGCAGGGTTTTTATACTTGATGACGTAATGTCCATGCTCTACATGGCATGTGTACGCCCCTCCCGCTGTACCTCCTGCCACACCCCCCAGGATAGCTCCGAGAAGTAAAGCTATTAATGGAGCAGCAGGTCCAGCTAAGCTGCTCCCAGCTAGTGTTGTTATAGCCATGGTTGGACAAGTAGCTAAAGTAGCTGCTCCGCCTGACACAGCTACTCCACCAACAGCCCCAGCTACAGTTCCCAACCCTGCTCCAACCTGGAGACCTTGAACTGCACAATCAGGAACATTCCCATAGATAAAGCTGTCAACTCGTCCTCCTGTGTTCTTTATATTCAGTATTATTCATATTTTTACAAAATCATGAAAACTCATGGAACCCTGATTTAAAACTGTGTTATTTACAACTTCAATGATAACAAAAAGGCAATTTTCTTCTGATGTCCGTAAAAACTACTTATTTTAAAAGAAATAAAATACTTATGATTGGTGTATATAATATGTTTATATAAAGAACAAGGTTCCTAGGAGGAAAAGAATCAAAACAATATCACATATCCCACTCTTCATTCTCAGGTTCGTGGAAGGACTGAGTTCAAGTGTAAACAGTAGAATGCAGATCCATCAGATATTTTCAACAATACGTCTCAGAATTGTAGGTTGGATTCTGATCTCATCTTGTATCTCTAGATCTGTGCTTCCTCTGTGCAATAGTTGACACTAGAGCAGGGTTGAGGAGGAACCGTTAGAATATAATCGTCTTTATGGTTCATTGTGCTTCTGGTGGCAATTCTTAGTACTTAATTAATTAATTTGACTAAAAAAGGAAGGGGAGAGGAACTCATCATGGGGGGGGGGTTTAACTGATCTATCAACCCGTTAATGCGTCAATTAGATGTTAGACGAGCTATTAATCTAATTATTAACTAAGATATAAAAAAGATAAAAGTTAAAGTGCGGTATTTTTTATATATATCTGCAAAGTAATAGTTCTTTATCTTGTAACATAAATTATTCAAAATCAGGGAGTATAAACATGAATAAAGCTCTCAGTATTACCAGTGAAACTATTTATAATTCTATATTTATATACTCCATACTACTGAGAGCTCTGTATATCTGTATACTCCATACTACTGAGAGCTCTGTATATCTGTATACTCCATACTACTGAGAGCTCTGTATATCTGTATACTCCATACTACTGAGAGCTCTGTATATCTGTATACTCCATACTACTGAGAGCTCTGTATATCTGTATACTCCATACTACTGAGAGCTCTGTATATCTGTATACTCCATACTACTGAGAGCTCTGTATATCTGTATACTCCATACTACTGAGAGCTCTGTATATCTGTATACTCCATACTACTGAGAGCTCTGTATATCTGTATACTCCATACTACTGAGAGCTCTGTATATCTGTATACTCCATACTACTGAGAGCTCTGTATATCTGTATACTCCATATTACTGAAAGCTTTTGTTTATCTGTATACTCCATACTGCTGAGAGCTCTGTGTATCTGTATACTCCATACTACTGAGAGTTCTGTATATCTGTATACTCCATACTACTTAGAGCTCTGTATATCTGTATATACAGAGCTCTTGACATCTGAATACTCCATACTACTGAAAGCTCTGTATATCTGTATACTCCATACGTCTGAAAGCTCTGTATATTCATATACTCTATGTTCAGGATAGAGGAGGAGCTGGAGCAAACAAGGTTTATTGGAGATGTTACTTCAACGCGGTTTCCTGTTTCTAGATACACAATATAGTTTCCTGTTTCTAGATACACGATATAGTTTCCTGTTTCCAGATACACGATATAGTTTCCTGTTTCTAGATACACTAAATAGTTCCTGTTTCTTGATACATGATATAGTTTCCTGTTTCTAGATACACGATATAGTTCCTGTTTCTAGATACACGATATAGTTTCCTGTTTCTGGATACATGATGTAGTTTCCTGTTTCTAGATACACGATATAGCTTCCTGTTTCTAGATACACGATATAGTTTCCTGTTTCTAGATACAATATATAGTTTTCTGTTTCTAGATACACGATATAGCTTCCTGTTTCTAGATACACGATATAGTTTTCTGTTTCTAGATACACGATATAGCTTCCTGTTTCTAGATAAATAGTAAAGCTCCCTGTTTTTAGATACACGATATAGCTTCCTATGTCTAGATAACCAGCATAGCTTCCTGTGTCTAGATAACCAGCATAGCTTCCTGTTTCTTGATAAACAGCATAGATGCCTGTTTTTAGATAATGGATATAGCTTCCTGTTTCTAGATAAACAGCTTAGCTTTCTGTTACTGTTTCAAATAGTTTTCGGTTTCTTGTTTATGTAAATATAACTGTATTTCTATTTGTATATCTTATCTGCATCTGCCTGTATTTGTACAAAAATATTTACATATTTGTATCTAAAACCATCTTTTTCTGTATCTATGTATATCTGTATCCGGCATCAATATTACAAGTTCAATTGTTACATTAATTTTTAATAAATTATAAAATTTTATTTTTATTCATTTATCTTTAAATCTTTAAATATGCAAGATTTTACACTGCAGAATTGTCAAATACATTTTTATGTTCATTTAATTTTATAATATATTTTTACTAACTGTAAAACTTTTCAAACTTTTGTAGCTTTTGACTGTTTATAAATCATCTTCTCTGATAGAAACGGTTCTTTGTTCTCTTTCTCTAGGTTTAATTGAAGCTCTAGTTTAATCTAAATAGAAAAATTAAACTAATTATTATAAATAAAAGAAGAGCATATAACAAGTTCTTTAAAAACCGAATAATTTATTTTAAAACAAAATTATCTTGATAAAAAATAACAATTCGTCATTTTAATAAACAGATAAATATCACAAGTCGGTTTATTTTTTCAAAATAAATTATCTTTGCTTTAGATCCTTTAACTTAAATAACCTGTCTCTGTGCGTCCACTTTCCGTCCATAGACTCCATGGAATACAGCATAGATGATCCCGAATACAAACGCAGCAATTCCGAAAATTCTTAAAAATAAGATAAAAGAATTGAGTCTCTCAACAAACTCTGATATTTTAATCTTTATATCTTTGCAACCCAATGCCGAAGACCTTAGGTATTTTAAACTTTTATTAATTTTGTTGAATCAAATAATATCGGTTTACACCATCAGCTTGCAAAGATATAGAAATTAGAAGAGTTGAGTTTGTGAAAAAACATGATTTTGATTTGATTTAAATTTGATTAAAATTTCAATTTCTTAAAGAACCTCAAAATTTTCTTTAACTTTTCAATTATTTAAGATAGAACAAAGAAATTGAGTATTTGCTACCAACTCCGACTTTAATTCATATATCTTTGCACCCCAATGTCGTAGACCTTATTTTTAAAAAATAATTTTATGTTTGAAATATCAAAGGTTTACGCTGTCAGGTTGAAAAAATATAAGATTTAGAACGTTTGAGTTTGTTAGAAAGACTTAATTATTAAAAGAGAAGTATATTCATGGATACTTTTAAACTATGGATGAAGACAGAAGAGCATATTTATCTCTAACCTGAAGGCAAGTGCTGTACTTTGTAGTTGATCCTTGAGAACTCCTCCGACTAAACCTCCGATACCTTTCCCGAACCCGTAGTGTGCTCCGCCGGTCAAACCGGTCAGGGTTGCCAGAGTTCCAGGGGGAGCAAATGCCTTAAAGTGTACAGTGTAATGCAAGTACATAGGTAAACATTATGATTGAGCCAGTTAAATGCATGTTTGTACATTAAACAATACATACCAGCCGCTTAAACATGTATGTACAATGTACATTAAACAATATATACCAGCCGTTTAAACATGTATGTACAATGTACATTAAACAATATATACCAGCCGCTGAAACATGTATGTACAATGTACATTAACCCTATCCCTGCTGGGGTACTTGAAAACCAGGATATGCTGGGGGGGGTCAATTTGACCCCCCCCTCTAAATCCCATGTTTGATGTCCAAATATGACAAATGATACATCATTGGAAAGCTCTTGTGCTCTACTTTTAGAATCTGCAAAAAAATTTGCAAATTTGCAAAAATTGAATTTAACAATACATACCAGCCGCTGAAACATATATGTACAATGTACATTAAACAATACATACCAGGCGTCTAAACATGAATGTACAATGTACATTGAACAATACATACCAGCCGCTTAAACATGTATGTATAATGTACATTGAACAATACATACCAGCCGCTGAAACATGTATGTACAATGTACATTGAACAATACATACCAGCCGTTTAAACATGTAAACACAATGTACCATGTACATCGAACAATATAACCGTGCCGATTACACTAACATGTACAGTGTACAATGTGCCATGTACGTTGAACAATATATCCGTGCCGATAACACGAACATGTACAGTGTACAATGTACCATGTACATTGAACAATATATGCGTGCCAGATAAAAAGCTGGTATAGTACTAAAAAATTTAAGAGTAGTCTTAATTTTGTATGTAATACAATCAAAAATATATAAAATTAAAATGTAATCTGAGCTGGGAACTTTAGAATAGTGGATATCGGGATTAATGCTTGATCCACTCATTTCTTAATCTTCAGATTAAATATTGCTTGTTTTCCTCATGAATTTAATCTCCAGATTAATTAACAGATCAAGATTAAGGATATCCCATTCTAAAGTTTTTAGCTCAGAGTTGGGAACTTTTGTGTTTTGGATATCGAGATCAATGCTTGATCTAGGTCTTTTGGGAACTTGTGGATTAATTTAATCTTTATTCTATATCCGCAGTCTAATTGTACCCTATAGGGATAACTGAAATGAAGAAATTGATCCTCAAATTAAAAGTGTTCAAAGTTGATATCGAGATAAAACGATTCGGGATTATACAGTTCCCAGCTTAGATTATATTTTCAAAAACAGAAATTTTTAACTTAACAAACAAAGCATATATTTACACTTTTTCTAATCGGTTATACCCCCTATACGATACAATACCTTGATATATTTAGCTTGAGCTACACTGAGCATGAATATTGTGAAGACCTCTAGACCTTCGAATGGAAAAGCATACCAAGCGCAGTTTATAAAAGAGTATCCAACATACCTGAGATAAAGAGATCCAGAGTAAGATATTCTAATCTGTGTTTGGTTAGAGTTAACAAGTTTTTTGAATCTTTTTATTGAGGAATTTTTTCATCCCTAAATTTCGTTCAAAAACACAATTTTTTATTGGTTTGTCACAAAAAACTGGACATTGCGAGGGTTTCGTTTATTTTCTACCTTACACCATACATGAGTAGAGCCCATATAATGATATTAACCGTTCCAAACATATCAACTATTTTATCAGAGTAGTAGAGGAAGGGTATTGAGATTAAAGCTCCGGTAGTAATTGTTAATCCAAGTAGATAGATCGGGGCACCTAGATCTTCCTAAAAAATAGCATTAACTTAAAAATTTTAAATGTGCACACTACATTGAATAATTGAAATTGTAATATTTGGTTGAGAATTAGTGCAATTTTTCTTCCCTATCAGGTGTATGATAAAGTATGAAGTAGGTATCTATGTTTATAGTTTGTAAGACTGATAATTATCCATTCTGATTTCTATTTCTCTACGAAAGTGACTTATGCATTTTTACTTCAAGAAAACACATGGAACTATCTGAATTATACACTTTTAGAAAAACAATTTCTTCCACATTATTTATCAGATAAAGGTTTCAAGGGTACCGTTGTGAATCAGGCATTGTCACTTTTGCATAGAGGGTTACTTGAAATTGCGTTTACAGTCTTTTTTAAGGCCAGAAGCTTGTTTACTCCAGGGTTAAAATATAAAAAGGATCTAAAACAATGACTTTTTCTTTTCTTTTTAATATGTCAAGGTATGATGCTAACCTTGAGATAGACGAAGAGAAATGTCTCGACGAACCCGAACATAATCCCGCACACGAACATCATGACGAGGAAGATGATGCAGGAGATGTTACTAAAAATCAGCTTTAATCCTCCAAAAGTATCTGAATCCTTTGGTAACCCTATATCCTAAACAAAATGATGACACGAGTACGACTAAATCTTTTTTTTTATAATTTCTTGTTGTTGAAAGATAACGGAACTAAAATTTTCTAATCCCTATATCTTTGCAACCCGAAGGTGTGAACATAAACTTTAACTGTGCGGTAAATACGAAATATGATTGTCTTAATTACATGTGAAATAGATAACGACGTAGGAATTGTAATTATGTTGACTTGTGACATAAGATATAAATTAAAGTTTAGTTTATAGTGTAACTCCGTAATGTTCACTGCGATAGAGTATACCTAAAATCCTGTTTTGAAGCAGGTCTGATCGTCTCCATCATTTGGGATCGATATATAGCTGTTAGAATATCTAAATGAATTCCTAGATTGAAATATCTAAAGTCCACCACATTGGGTAACAAAGATATAGGGATTATAAAATCAGAGTTTATGACTTGGTTCCTGATAGTTTTATAACCTTGTCTATTAAGAAGATACAAATAATTGTTCCCAGAAGAAGAATATCACAGATTACAAACGGAGCAATATAGTTCATAGATCCAGTCAGCTCAGTTATTGTATCCATCAGTAAACCAACCTAGATTAATATATTCTACAGTTAGATATATCCTTGAATTATATTCTAGATTTATATCCTACAGTTAGATATTTCATAGAATTATTTTCTTTATCTATATCCTAGATTTACATTCTAAATATATTAATTATATTAAATATAGTGTAAACAATAAATATGTAACTTTCTTTATCCTTTCCTTTCCTTTTCCTTTTATTTCTATTTTTATATTTTTTTTTTAGAATTGGGGGGAAATGTTCCCACAACCTCTACTTTTAGAGGTTTTTAAATATATTCTCCTGAAACACCTAATTTTGTAAGTTTTTGTTATATTTCATAAATAAATAATTTTTTACTTTACTTTACTTTAATCTATATCCTAGATTTATATCCAATATTCCTAGAGTTAGATATATCCTTGATTTATATCGTAGTTTTTTATCCTAGAGTTAGATATAGCCTAGATTTATATCCTAGACTTAAATATATCCTTGAATTATTTCCTAGATTTATATCCTTGATTTATATCCTAGAGTTAGATATATCCTAGAGTTAGATACATCCTTGAATTGTTACCTAGATTTATATCCTTGAGTGTGATATATCCTTGAATTATTGTCTAAGTTTATTTCCTTGGTTTATATCCTAGAGTTTAATATATCCTTGATTTATATACTTAAGTTATCACTTCTTGACTTGCGAATTACACTCTAAATTACGAAATAAAAAATCGCTTATTTGACAGCAAAAGTTTAATGACCGCAAAATAAGCAACAAAAAATCGCTCATCAACGATAAACAATCGGTTATTTTGCAGTCATGGGATTTTTTATTTCGTAATTTAGAGCGCATGACGGAAGATAAAGCTACCTTTATATTTAACAATGAATATTCTGAATATTTCAGTTTTAAAGTTTTGATAAACGTTTTGAGCTCTAGTCGGAAATAAAAATAAACAACATTTAAAAAAAAAATATTTAACAATACCAGAGGTGAAACAATAGCCTGAGCCAAGGTTCGGTACACGATCTGTCTCCCGTATGCTCCTGAATATATAACTAACATATTAGATATTATACAAATATACAAATATATACAAATAATGTAAACTGGCTTCGGGATAAAGCTGATGATGGCGTCCAATTTATCATCCTAACTACGTGTTAGCTGAGCAAAAGATATTAACAGTAATGAATAAAGTAAACTTTTAATAAAAAAATTACAGAGCCAAGACGACTAGAAGAGCATCTAAGCATTTAATCGCGAACCTTAATGAAGACACAACTATGTTGTCATTTGTATATGTCATAGAATTGCAGCTGCGCGCTTATGCAAATAACATTAAAAAATTAAATGAAAAAATATGATTTTGTCAAACCTTTATTTCCAGCTTCCTCCTCTAGAGAACACATCTACGAAAACAAATGAATAGAATCAGAAAAAACAAAGTATCTTTCAACCTACGCACATCCACCATACTACACTTCTGACCTACTCGCACATGGTTTTTCATCTGCAAGATGGACATGTGGACGCAGTGCCCGGTTCCCTAGCCTGGACTAGCCGAGGCGTTCGGCAACCTAGCCTGTCATTGCCGCAGCGCACGGCCCAGAAATTGTCTTAACCTAACAAAACTCTCAAACAATACAAAAAGGCTCTCGTAGGTCGAAAATTTAGTTGGTCAGAAGTTCAGTAGATGGTATGTCGCGTACACCCTGACCACCTGTATTGTTTGCGCATCCAGCATGATAAAGCAGCAGGCTAAACACATCGTGGCAAGGACACGTAGGATAAAGTAAACAAAGTTGGTGACCATCCTCCCCTCACCTTCCTCTTCAACACAGTAACTAGATTATTCATATATTGGATCTTTCAATTTCAACACTTTGGACTCTTTCACCGTGTAGTAAAGCATCAAAAGTGTAATTTGAAAGCATCAGAAGCAAAAAGCAAATCAAATTTAATGCCTCACTCACTCTTTTTTAGAAAATATTAACTTTCCAGTCAAATTATACTACCGTGAGAACTATAAATCTGTAAAATAAACGATATCTTTGTCCTCAATTCTTTTTACTCAACAAATGTCGGAAATAATTTAGGTAAATTTGCTTCTGCAGCAATGGTAAATTTTTAAAATTTTCTGAGCTGTAAAATTTTGTTATGTATGCTACTAACCCCGATCGATTGATATTGATTTACACTGTGGGCACTTTTATTTAAAGGATCTATAAAATCTAACTAATTTCATAGATCCCCAGATTAAAAGTTTCACATAATAAGGGCACGGCAAAGTAGAATGTCGCGTGGTCTTGCGATAGATATATTACTCCATTGAATGAATTCATTTTAAAAAATGTTTTACACCTGATAAGATCTGTTTCAACTTGACATTGGAGTGAGCAGAGTTCAGGTAGTTTCAGTTCCTAGTTATAGATCAGAAATTATAGGTCAGGTAGTTTCAGTACCTAGCAATAGAACAGGAATTAATGGTCAGGTAGTTTCAGTACATAGCAATAGATCAGGAATTGATGGTCAGGTAGTTCAAGTACCTAGCAATAGAACAGGAATTAATGGTCAGGTAGTTTCAGTACATAGCAATAGATCAGGAATTGCTGGTTAGGTAGTTCAAGTACCTAGCAATAGAACAGGAATTAATGGTCAGGTAGTTTCAGTACCTAGCAATAGATCAGGAATTAATGGTCAGGTAGTTCAAGTACCTAACAACAGATCAGGAATTAATGGTCGGTTAGTTTCAGTACCTAGTTATACAGGAATTAATGGTCAGGTAGTTTCAGTACCTAGCAATAGATCAGGAATTAATGGTCAGGTAGTTCAAGTACCTAGCAACAGATCAGGAATTAATTGTCAGGTAGTTCAAGTACCTAGGAACAGATCAGGAATTAATGGTCAGGTAGTTTCAGTACCAAGTATAGATCAGAAATTATAAGTCAGGTAGTTTCAGTACCTAGCAATAGAACAGGAATTAATGGTCAGGTAGTTTCAGTACCTAGCAATAGATCAGGAATTAATGGTCAGGTAGTTCAAGTACCTAACAACAGATCAGGAATTAATGGTCGGTTAGTTTCGGTACCTAGTTATAGATCAGAAATTATAGGTCAGGTAGTTTCAGTACCTAGCAAAAGAACAGGAATTAATGGTCAGGTAGTTTCAGTACCTAGCAATAGATCAGGAATTAATGGTCAGGTAGTTCAAGTACCTAGCAACAGATCAGGAATTAATGGTCAGGTAGTTCAATTACCTAGCAACAGATCAGGAATTAATGGTCAGGTAGTTCAAGTACCTAGCAACAGATCAGGAATTATTGGTCAGGTGTTATGTACCTAGCAACAGATCAGGAATTAATGGTCAGGTGTTAAGTACCTAGCAACAGATCAGGAATTAATGGTCAGGTAGTTCAAGTACCTAGCAACAGATCAGGAATTAATGGTCAGGTTGTTCAAGTACTTAGCAATAGAACAGGAATTAATGGTCAGGTAGTTCAAATACCTAGTTATAGATCAGGAATTAATAATCAGGTAGTTCAAGTACCTAGTTATAGATCATGAATTACTGGTCAGGTTCTTAGGAATCGGAAAGGAATAACTGGTTAAGAAGTTCAGGTACCTAATAATAGAACAGGAATTTTAGGCCAGGTACCTGGGAAATGAAAAGGAACTAATGGTCAGGTAGTTCAAATACTTAGTAATTGATCAGTAATTATAGGTTTCTTAGTTCAAGGACCTAACAATAATCAGGAATGAATGGTCAGGTAGTTCAAGTACCTAGCAATAGATCAGAAATTAATGGTCAGGTAGTTCAAGTACCTAGCAATAGATCAGGAATTAATGGTCAGGTAGTTCAGATTCATATGAATTGGAAAGGAATTAAAAATCAGCTAATTCAAGATCATATTGATATTAAAATCGGTCGGAACTGATAGATATATTGATCGTTAAAAGAACCTGAGATCTTGAATCTGCGCTGCATGGATCTGCTCCGAACTCTAAAGCAACGTTTGCTCTTCCCTCCATCTCCATAACAGGATTTAAAATCAACCCTTCTAGTTGCATAGAACCCGGAGTCAAGGACTGAATACAGTGCGGGGAGAGGAGAGAACAGATATCTATGTCCTCCTTTAAATCATGGAGAATTTAAATGATCAAAAAATGGCGACAAAAAGAATGTATGGTAGATAAAATGTTTTTACAAATAACTGTGTAGACATTCCCTCACCGAATATGGGAGAACTGAGGTCAAAACTTGTATGTCGGGAATCCCGGGATTAAGCTGTTATCATATTCTGATTAATCTATATATTTACTTTGATTGTCTGTTTGTTTGTCTGTCTGTCCGTTTGTATCCAATAAAGGTCAAAACGGCTGAACCGATCAAGCCAAAATTTGTTGTGGGACCTTGCGTGACCCCAGGGAAGGCTTATGGATGATCGAATTTTCCAAAATTTGACTCTAACAAAATTCAATTTTTGAAAATTTTTAAAATCCCCGAAATTTGTTTTTGTTTTACAATGCTCACAAAAAGAACATGTTCACAATTGAAATAGAAGAAAGGCGCGAAGCGCCCTCAAAGCCTAGGGAAATAAATTTATCTTGAATATCCCGTGAAACTATGGTTGTATCCTGCAGGAATAACTAATATTGATGAATGAAGCGCGTACTCATCAAATCATAGAAGTTGTCGAGTCCATGATTAGCGCTATTTCAATTTCATATAAAAACTTTGGCCTCTTTCAAAAAAATGTACTTTTTAAATATTGACAGAGATTTATTGTCCAAAATGTAAAATTGTCCAAATTGATTTCCTGACATGACTGAGAACAGTTAAAGAGCTCAACCCTGTATTGAGTTAGGTTCTGTAGATTAGAGAAGATCTGAGTATTATTGCAGGTATCCCAGCTCAGTCTCAGCTCAGATCCAACTACAACCAACATCCCATGATATTAAAATAAATCTGAGTTCAAATGTATAAACATTAACGTAAAATAGAAGAAGTGGCTACTTACATACCTGTATCCTAATGGTTCAATTTTGCTGTAATACTAAATGCTGGTTTCTAATTTTAGAAAAGATATTTTTAAATAGATAAAAGAAAAGAATAAACTTTTGCACAATTGCTAAGGTTTCATAGACTAGAATTTCATACTGTTGAAAATTCCGGAGTTAATCCGGTAACATTGAAATTTTAGTATTAAAAAAAAAATTTGAACTGGGAAGTTCCTAGAATAGCTGAGGTTGAAGAATACTGTATATTTCTAGTATTAACAGGAACTAAGAGAAGCAGTGTGTGGAATACTCCACATCCAATCACATTCAGTTGTAATACCCTGAGCAACAAGATTCTGAGAATTTTATCCATAATTTTTCCTTTTTAGTTCTAGAAATAGTTTTTCCATAGCCTACATAGTTCCGAAGTATTTATCCTAGAAACCCTAGTTTTGTACCTCACATACTTCCCAAGTATATCTCCTGGGTATACCTCACATAGTTCCCAAGTTTATCTTCAAGGAACTAAAGTTCTATACCTCACATAGTTCCCGAGTTCACATCCTAGGAACTCTAGTTCTATACCTTACATAGTTCCCAAGTTTATCTTCAAGGAACCCTAGTTCAATACCTCACATAGTTCCCAAGTTTATCTCCCAGGAACTCTAGTTCTATACCTCACATAGTTCCCAAGTTTATCTTCAAGGAACTAAAGTTCTATACCTCACAAAGTTCCCAAGTTTATCTACCAGGAACTCTGGTTCTATACCTCACATAGTTTCCAAGTTTATCTCCTAGGAACCCTAGTTCTATACCTCACATAGTTCCCAAGTTCACATCCTAGGAACTTTAGTTCTATACCTCACATAGTTCCCAAGTTTATCTCCAAGTAACCCTATTTCTATGACTCACCTAGTTCCCAAGTTATCACCCAGGAACTCTAGTTCTATACCTCACATAGTTCCCAAGTTTATCTCCGAGGAACCCTAGTTCAATACCTCACATAGTTCCCAAGTTTATCTCCTAGGAACCCTAGTTCTATACCTCAAATAGTTCCCAAGTTCACATCCTAGGAACTCTAGTTCTATACCTCACATAGTTCCCAAGTTTATCTCCAAGTAACCCTATTTCTATGACTCACCTAGTTCCCAAGTTATCACCCAGGAACTCTAGTTCTATACCTCACATAGTTCCCAAGTTTATCTCCAAGGAACCCTAGTTCAATACCTCACATATTCCCAAGTTTATCTCCAAGGAACCCAACTATCGGAGGAGCCACAAACACGCAGAATGGAAGAATTGTATAGATCAGAGCTATATCAATATCACTAGAAACAAATTAAAAAGAAATAGTTCAGATTTTCCATTTTTATTTAGCTCACCTTATTCCTATATCTTTCATATGAATTGTGAGATAAGGAAGTATAGAATATGCTGCTGCTGAGTAGAAGAATAAAGTTAGTTTCAAGGGAAGCAGAGTCTAGTTCAGTTTAATCATCAAGTTCCAGAAAACAATAATATTCAGAATACAATGGCAGGAATTATAAGGAATGATACAAGTTCTGATTTTGTCTTGTTACATGATTCATAGTTTCAGTTTAATATCGTTTTTAATCCCTCCTTTGTCGGTAACAATATTTCAATTATACATGTGCTAAAAATGTCTGTTTTACATTTATAGGTCTTTACCTAATCGAATCTGATTGAATTAAACAATAGAGAATTAAATTTGTTGTTTCAGGGACAGGACGTGGAATAAAATAATTTAAAATAAATAATCCTTGCACCAGTATCAACTTGAAGATACAAATAAACTAATTTAATTAAATATGTTGTCTTGGCATGTTAGAACTACCCATAATAATTGCATTTGTATCAAAACCGAATTGTTCATTTTATAGTAATTTACACTTTTGAAAAAAAAAAAAAACATTTCTGTTTAATTGTGCTCACTTTTACAATAACATCCAATAAATCAATATTGGATATTTTTTCTCATGAAAAAAATAGATGATCTGCAAATTTTCCGTTTTTTCTAAATGCATATTTTTTCTTTTATTATTTTTTATTTCATCTCAGATATATTTATCCCTCTGCATTAATATCAACATTATAATAGCACTTAATTTGTCAGTTGAAGGTGAAATATTTTATGATCAACATGATTTCTGCATTTTGACATTTTATGGATAAGACCATAGATAATTAACAATACGATAGAACACATGATGTTGTATTTTCAAGATTTAAGGGTTTTTTCGTTCACAATAAACCAATGAGGCAGAATGATTAGAATCACAAAGAAGTTCCGTGCAGGCAGCGTGGAATTACAAGTCAGAGAGAGAGCATGTGCGTTGTATCATTGTTACGTAATACAGACGGAGACAAGTGACAATGATACTGTACTGCCATTGGTCTGGTCACGTGATACGGTCTTATTAATTATATTATCAACTATATCTATTAAAACTAAAAAATTATTAAATTCAAATAATTATATGGGCAAACTTAAGTTTTTCAGGCTCCTCTGGGATATCATCGTTTTCAGATTGTTTGCGTATTTGCTGAATATCATCTGGTTAATTGTCCGATTTTTATACAAATTTTATATATATAAATTATTTTCGTAAAAATTTGACACAGATCAATTTCTCGAGACACGAACATCAGAAAGAACTATTATGGGTCTCGATCAACTCCAGAAATGCTTAGGTTTCAGTCTATACCCCTTTAATTTTTTCTTTACAGTTCCTTTAAAGATTTGAAGGTCGTCTTTGTAAAAGAAAATCTATTATAATCTGTGAAAGTTTCGTCTTCTAGAGTTTATGATTTGGTTGTTTATGTTTTGTTAGCACATACTCCATGTTGTACTTAGTAAAAGGAAAATGCTTCTGTATACAAACAAAATACAGTTGTCCCTCTTCACTTGTGTCAGAAAAAAAAATATCAAAATAGTGTTTTTTATTGTTTATAAAAGATATAAGCTATGAAGCAATGCTAACTCTATATAAAGACGATCTCGCAGTTCTGGTTCAATTCCCATGTTTGTTGTAAATATAAAATACAACATTTTCTAATAATTATAATTTGATGATTTTACCCTGTTTACATTTAACTTTCCCATCTTGAACTCTTGTGTTTATTTTGCACAGTAATTCATCTGAATAAATACATAAATGCAAAATTAAACAAATAGATCTATATTATGAATATTATTAGTTACTAATCTAAGCTTTTTATTTACTTAATAATTGCATAGAAAACTAGGGTTAAAGAAAAGATAGGAATTGAGTAATTGCTACAAACTCTGATTTTCTAATCTCTATTTCTTTGCACCCCGATGTCGATTAGATCTTAGATATTTAAAACTATAAAATTCTGCTAGATCAAATAATCTATGTTAGAAATATAAAAGGTTTACAACATCAGGTTACATAGATATCGGGATTAGAAAATTTAAGTTTGTGACAAAAACTCAACTTTTTTTGTGACTCAATAAATATGATAATTCAATGAAAATAATGACAGATAGTCTTCAAGAGAGATTAGATTATTTAAGTGATACAAACATCAAATTATGTTATGCTTAATCTTATCCCTACATATCTTTGATCTACCTAAATCTTATCCCCACATATCTTTGATCTACTTAAATCTTATCCCCTCATATCTTTGATCTACTTGAATCTTATCCCCACATATCTTTGATCTTCTTGAATCTTATCCCCTCATATCTTTGACCTACTTGAATCTTATCCCCTCATATCTTTGATCTACTTGAATCTTATCCCCACATATCTTTGATCTACTTGAATCTTATCCCACATATCTTTGATCTACATGGATATTATCCCCTCATATCTTTGATCTACCTGAAACTTTTGTATCCTCATGTGTCCTTGATCTGCTTAAATCTTATCCCCACATATCCTTGATCTACTTGAATCTTATCCCACATATCTTTGATCTACATGGATCTTATCCCCTCATATCTTTGATCTACCTGAAACTTTTGTATCCTCATGTGTCCTTGATCTGCTTAAGTCTTATCCCCCATATCTTAGATCTACTTGAATCTTATCCCCACATATCTTTGATCTTCTTAAATCTTGTCTCCACATGTCTTTGATCTACTTGAATCTTATCCCCACATGTCTTTGATCTACCTGAATCTTATCCCCACATATCTTTGATATACATGAATCTTATCCCAACATATCTTTGATCTACATGAATCTTATCCACCATATCTTTGGTCTACTTGCATCTTATCCCCTCATATCTTTTATCTACATGAATCTTATCCCCCTATATCTTTGATCTACTTAAATCTTATCTTTTCGTATCTTTGATCTACTTGAATCTTATCCCCACATATCTTTGATCTTCTTGAATCTCATACCCTATCCACGGAGGTCTTTTATCTACCTGAATCTTTCTTTGTTTATTTATAACTTTCATATTTCGTCATACGAGAAGATTACTTTTAACTTAATTTAAATAAAAACATTATCTAATTTGTGTCATCACAATCGAACTGATATATTTACTATCTTCCGTTAACATCAGATAAGCTGCCCCAGACATACCCTCCCCCCCCCCTCCCTCTTCCCTCGTATCTTATAATTTCTAAGTTTTAATCAATAAATGTGATAAATGTAGATTAAACCATAACAGGTAACCAAGAATGAAATAGGCTAAAAAAGGGTAATGTTACTTCTGTACTACGATACTTCGGATCTACGACACCTGTAGGTCAATTGTACATTATATTTTGTTAATCCGACCTACGCAAGAACTGCAGATATTGACAGTATGTAGTTGACTCAGTTGACAGTGCTACCATAAGAATCGATGTTCAAGTTGCACACAAAGGGGATGGTGGAGATGTCACATTTAATGTAGGTTGGGGGTCGGGGTCCTTGCCTTCATTTTTGGTTCAAAGCATCCAATTTTTTGATGACCTCTAATGACCTTTAATTACCTCGACCAATAAAAATGTTTCAACTATGGCTTTATGCATATCAATCGAAAGCTAGGAGCCCAGGGAATACAGTAGCAGCAACAAATCCAGTGGTTGGCCTTATATTGACTTCAAAATTGAAAATGTTTTAACAATGCAGCTAGTATGCATATCAAACGAAAGCTAGGAACCCAGGCAATACAGCAAAAGCAAAGAATTCAGTGTTTGGCCGGCCTTTTGATGACCTCTAATGAACTCCAAATTGAAAATGTTTTAAATATGCTTCTATACTTCTTTGTGCATCCGACCTACCAAAGTTGTGTATCCGACCTACTGAAGTTGTGCATCCGACCTACCAAAGTTGTGCATTCAACCTACGAAAGTTGTGCATCCGACCTACTAAAGTTGTGCATCCGACATACTAGAGTTGTGCATCTGACCAACTAGTGTTGTGCATCCGACCTACAAATATTGGGAATTCGACCTACATAAAAGAGTGCAACCAACTTAAGAAAGCTGTGCAACCGAACTTCAGTAGGTCGGATGCACTAACTTTTTTAAATGAAGTGTGTATCCGACCTACGGTACATCGGACCAACAGCAGCTTGTGCTGCTGAAAAACCACGTGCTTTTAGGTCCGAAGTATCGTTGGACAATACGATCTAAAAAAGAATCAAGAAGCAAAATATATTTGTAGAAATAGGAAACAAACTGAAAAGAGAAGTAATTATGAAGACAATACAAAAAAATGGAGACGTAATTTTAAGTTACTCCTAATTCATAACGGCAACCTAAAGCTTTGTCTGATCAAATATGCATGATAGTAATTATCTTTCTCGTTTTAAAAAGTTGATAAATTTTCATTTAAAGCTGCGCATTTTTGCTTCACTATTAGGAAATTATCGGAATGAAAAACTTTTTTTACTAGGAAAACAACGATATCTTCACATAATTGATCAGATAATGGTTTAATAGGTACCGTTGTTAATCGGACATGACATGCTTCTCTTTACAGATTAAACATTCAAAGAAAGTAAAAAGTAAAATTAAAAACAAGAAAACTATTTCAGAAAGCAAATTCAATCAGGGAAACAGAACGAATAGATAAGAGTAAGCAAGAACAGTTGAATCCAGAATGAACCAAAGGGTAACAAGATAAAGCAAGCCTAAAAAGAAGACAAAAAAAGTTCAAGAAACAAGAAACAATGATTTCAGGAAAATTAAAAATAAACCAGTGTTAAAGATAAAAATGAATAAGGATGACATTTGTAAAAAAGAGACAAAAATGATTTAAAATCAACTCGAAATGAGAGAAAAAAATCAAAATTGTTTTTGCACCGTGTTATAAGCTTTGTTTTAACAGAACTGAGAACTTTTAATTATGAGTTCGATTGTGGGAAGATTAAATCATCTCTTATGTGTGAAACTTCGGTAACAGGGCCAATGATAAATTAGTTTTAGTTTCCACTAGAGGGAGGATTAAATTGACCTGTTCCATTCAATAATAGTTTTAACTCAAAACTGAAACATGATTGACCATTCTGGTCAAATCTCCGAAATTCATTACTTAATGAGAGATTAGTTAATCGATTTAAAAGTTTTCAATTCAGAAAATATGTTAGAAATTGTTTCTATAGCGTTGTAGATGAGAAAAGCCCAATTTAAAGTAGAAATTATTGATAATAGTTTCGGTGAGCTGTTGAGTACTCTGGATCCAATACAGAACTGAATTATTCATTGTTTAGCACACTGCCGTAAACTAGTAAAAAGAGAGTATGGATCAGAAAACGGTTTGAGTACAAAACATAATTATCATAATAAAATTGTCAGCTAGCGTCGGCCAGCTTCTCTCCCTGGGGTTAATATATTCAATAAAAAATGATTATTTTTAATAATTTAAAAAATATATTATTTATTTTAAAAAAATACAGTTGAAATAATCCAATCGTCACACGCATTTTATAAGAAATAACAGAAGAAAAAGTAAATAAAATCCTTTTTGAACAGACCTTTTAACACATTTTGTAGGAAATTCAGGTAACATTTTAATACTTGGTCTTATATGTCATGAAGTAGAGATACAGTGCAGACTCATTGTTTTTTAACTTCTCAGGGCACCGGAGAAACTATCTATAAACTGAAAAAGAACAAAATATCTCTGAACTACAGAAAGTACAAAAATATCTCTGAACTAAAGAAAGTACAGAATATCTCTGAACTACAGAAAGTACAAAAATATCTCTGAACTAAAGAAAGTACAAAAATATCTCTGAACTAAAGAAAGTACAAAAATATCTCTGAACTAAATAAAGTACAGAATATCTCTGAACTAAATAAAGTTCAGAATATCTCTGAACTAAAGAAAGTGCAGAATATCTCTGAACTAAAGAAAGTACAAAATATCTCTGAACTACAGAAAGTACAGAATATCTCTGAACTAAAGAAAGTACAGAATATCTCTGAACTAAAAAAAAGTACAGAATATCTCTGAACTACAGAAAGTACAGAATATCTCTGAACTACAGAAAGTACAGAATATCTCTGAACTAAAGAAAGTACAAAAGATCTGAAAGATGTTCGCTAGGTTCAGCGTGAAGAGCTGTTCCAGTAAGGAAGGCGAGCTTATGAGCGTATTGACAAGGAGCTGGAACACGAACTGAGCCTGAGTAGTTGAAGTATAGATGGGTCAGCTTATAGGTCAGCCGCTGCAACTGGTCAGGTCTACAATAATTCATGTTTTAGTTTTAGCACTATCAGTTTTTTTTCTTCCTAACCTGTCCTACCTGAACTCTGTTTACTGTATCCTATTCTACCTGAACCCTGTCTACTGTATCCTATCCTTCCTGAACCCTGCCTACTGCATATAATCCTACCTGAACCCTGTCTACTTTATTCTATCCTACCTGAACTCTGTTCGCTGTATCCTATTCTACCTGAACCCTGTCTAAAGTATCCTATCCTTCCTGAACCCTATCTACTGTATCCTAACCTTCCTGAACCCTGTCTACTGTATCCTATCCTACCTGGACCCTGCCTACTGTATCCTACTCTACCTGAACCCTGTCTATTTTATTCTATCCTACCAACCCTGTCTACTATATCCTATCCTACCTGAACCCTGTCTACTGTATCCTATCTTACCTCTACCCTGTCTACTGTATATCCTGTATATCCTACCTAAATCCTGTCTACTAAATTCTATCCTACCAACCCTATCTACTATATACTATCATACCTGGACTCTGTCTACTATATCCTATCATACCTGGACTCTGTCTACTGAATCCTATCCTACCAGAACTCTATCTACAGTATATCATCCTATCCTACCTGAACCCTGTCTACTGTATATAATCCTACCTGAACCCTGTCTACTATATATTATTCTACCTGAACCCTGTCTACTATAATCCATCCTACCAACCCTATCTACTGCTACCTATCCTAGCTAAACCCTGTCAACTATATCCTATCCTACCTTAACTCTGTCTACTATATCCAATCCTACCTGAACCCTGTCTACTTTATCCTATCCTACCTGAACCCTGTCAACTATATCCTATCCTACCTTAACTCTGTCAACTATATCCTATCCTACCTGAACCCTTTCTACTGTATCCTATGCTACCTTAAATCTGTCAACTATATCCAATCCTACCTGAACCCTGTCTACTGTATCCTATGCTACCTAAACTCTGTCTACTACATCCTATCCTACCTGAACCCTGTCTCATCCATGATAACATTATAACTGGTCGGGTTGACTGTTCCCTGTCGGACGGACTGGGACACCAGGAAGAAATCATACCTGAAGAAAAATATAGTAAAAGTTTTTAAGACAATATTTTCAAAAAATAGGTAATGTTCTGCTAACTCAAATAGGAAAAAAACTTAAAGATAATTCTATTGTTAGGATGATACTTCAGTTATGTGTAATAATAAGCACGACAAGATAGTTCTGAGCTGAAAACTTTAGAATGAAATATCTAGATATCCAGTCGGATAATTAATCTGAAGATTAAAGTCATGAGGTAAACAAGCAATATTTAATCTGGAGATTAAGAAAAAGAGTGGATCAAGCCTTAATCCTGATATCCACCATTCTAAAGTTTTCAGCTCTGATTTAATAAAATCGATATGTATCTTTAGATTTCCTGGTTGCATAGCCAATATTTCTTTTCGAACCAATTCGGCCCCCTCTCCATGGTTGTATGTTTGTAAAAGTTTCGTGTCTTCTATTTTATATATCTTTCTATTGTGCTGTACGTTTAAAATAATAATAAGGTTTGAGCTCCCGTCCATAGAAACTCTAATGAATAAAAAAATCTTTAAATTAAATACAACCGGGGCACACTAAGGTCTAGTTAGTTTAGCTTGATGCGGATATCTGTCTCCGAGTTCGAGGCTAGAACTAGAGAAAACATTACCTCTCTGGTAGTGTGATAACATCATCGACTATGGTTCCGCTGGGAGGATTCCCATAATCCGGTAATCCTCCGTCTACAGGGTTTACATGTTTGGTGAGAAACCTTGTATGGATCCGTTTACTCACTGAAAATCCAAGTTAATTTACATTTACAGAAATTATTTTTTTGAAAGTTTAAACAATAATAGTTACCTATAACAAAGGTTATTTTTGGATCATAATCTGGAGAAAGTTTTCTAAATGTTTCTTTTAATCTGTTCACCTCGTGTTCGATCACGTGGGACACCTGACCCTCGCCTACTCCGTCCCTGTGTAAACAATTATTGTAAAATGAAAATTTTAATTCCAACTTAAAAATCAATTCCACATTTTCTTATATAACAATTTACGAAAATAGTTTAAAACAGAACTTAGAAAAAAAAATTTAAGATATAAAAATGAATAATAATAATTATGTTTTTTTATTTTTCTAATGTTAAAACGTTAAAACCCATTTTATAAGTAAAACTTGGTTCTTAATTTGAACGTAATGCATCTGGTGTGATTGTTTCCTTAGTTTAGTTTGTTTGTTTACCAATTTCGAATGAATTTGCTTGTTTTTCAAGTTAATACTAGATTTAGATACAGCATGTTGAATGTGCCCTGATTTTTTTTTAGATGGGGAGAAGGTATTGTATTGGGTTGTGTTAATCTACTGAACAAAATCGTGAAATCTTTTACAGAAGAAATCATTTCCTGGATATTAGATCCTAAATCTTCCAAAAAGAAGAGATAAATCAGGTTATCTAGTAAGAATCAGTTCGACATGAACTGATGAAGATCTTTGTCTTTTATTCATGAAGCAAGATTTACTGGTTTGTTTTCATTGCTATGGAGTATGGAGTGCTAAGACCCCACTAAAAGTTTCGGACACTAGTATTTCAGTGATAAGTTTTTTTAAACTAACTATTTTTGGTTTTGATTGTGGTTTCACTTCATCATCTCGAGCTATGCGAGATATGGTGACTGCTGACCCAGGCTGAGGTACTTTAAAGCTTTATAAAGTGAAAAAACAATTGATTGACAAGCTATGCCAGTACTAATACAAATATGCAGAGATTTGCAAAATCTCACCAAACTTGGTTTGTAATGAAGAAAAACTAAAAACCAAATTGAATAAAGTAGGCAGTCGGGCAGTTTGAGACTCAGCAGTTTGATGAAAATGTCCAATGGAAGGTTAAAGTTTTAAGTTCATGGTTTATTTTTTTTGGAAAGGTTAGAAAATGCTAATTAAACACAGGGGGTTCCACTCTTCTGTCAGGACTAAGGTTAAGATTTAAATAGAAATTCCTGAATTAAGATATATCAATACTTCAAAAAACGAAAAAGGTAAGTGAGCATGAAAAGGTAAGTGAGCATGTTTTACTAAAGTAAAAAAGGTAAGTTTGCATGTTTTAATATTAACGAAAAAGGTAAGTAAGCATGTTATTTTTAAGTATAAAAATGTAAGTTTGCATGTATTAAAATAAAAGAAAAAGGTAAGTTTGCCCTGTGCATGTTGTCAGTACAAAATAATTAAGTTAATATCAATATTGATCTATACTGAAAAGATCAATATAAGGAGCGTGTAAGAATAAATATTCTTCAACTAGTGTAAGAATTTCCATTCTTTAATGCTCGGAGCGTGTAAGAATATACATTCTTTCACGCTCTGACCGTGTAATAATTTCTATTCTTACACGGTCTCAGCGTTAAAGAAGGAAAATTCTACACATACAGTGTAAGAATAAGCATTCGCAAACGCTAGGAAGAGAACAATATTAAAATTGTTCCTCCTGAACCGTGTAATAATGGGAATTCTTACACGATACGTTTACTACTATGGAACCGAACAGATATCATATAATAATGATTATAACTTCCTATATGAACTAAAAATATACTTATATTAATAAAGAATTAAGTAAAATGTATGATAAAATTAAATGTATCTAAATAATTAATTACATTAATAATCAAATGAAATAAAATCAGACTTCTAGGCTGGTCCTACTTCTAATCTACAGTTTCAAGATGACTTAGCTAATTTAAATTTGTAGCCTAAGGTTTATCATTTGTAATGATTCAATGAATTACTCAGTCATTAATCCTTTCAAGACATGAAGTTTGCATAGAATTAATTTCATCTCTGAGCATTAACTTTGTGCATTGAACAGATTGAGCCTCACCGTGATGAATTATGCATATTTTATATGGAAAATAAAATATTCCGAATATAAAAATAAATTTTAAAAAACCAAATGACTAGAATTTACCTGTAGAAAAATATTCTACTGGGAAGAGAATGTTTAACTTCTCTATATTTACATAAAGCTCGGAGAAACATCACCTAAAATAATTTACTTAGTTACTTAACGTCCCTTGGGACAATTAAGTAAAATAATAACCCGTTCTGCGAAGTTTTTGTGAAAAAAGTGGCGCATTTTCATCTCAAAAGACGATAGAGTTGTATAGAACTACTTTTTCAGGAAATAAAAAATTACACTTAACCACGGGTTCCCTCGACCAATTTTGCTAACGTAAAATTCCCTTAACTTCCCTGTAACGTAGTTGTAAATAATTAAAAATTCAAATTTTCCTAAAATTATTTTGAAATAAATAATGTAGTTTAATCAAAAATACTATAAAATCACCTATCCCAATCATTTTTATTCTTATCCAATATTCAAGTAAGTAAGAAGTACCTACCCTAATATTTAAGCAAGTAAGGAGTACCTATCCCAATTTTCAAGTATGTAAGGAGTACCTACCCCAATACTTAAGCAAGCAAGGAGTACCTACCCCAATATTTAAGTAAGTAAGGAGTACCAAACCCAATATTCAAGTGTTTAAGGTGTACCTAACAAAATATTCAAGTATTTATGGAGTACCTTCCCCAACATTCAGTATGTAAGGAGTACCTACCCCAATATTCAAGTGTGTAAGGAGTACCTTCCCCAATCTTCAATTATGTAAGGAGTACCTACCCTAAATATTCAAGTATGTATGGAGTACCTTCCCCAATATTCAAATATGTAAGGAGTACCAACCCAAATATTCAAGTATGTATGGAGTACCTACCCCAATATTCAAGTATGTATGGAGTACCTACCCCAAACATTCAAGTATGTAAGGAATACCTACCCCAATATTCAAGTAAGTAAGAAGTACCTACCCCAATATTCAAGTTTGTAAGGAGTACCTACCCCAATATTCAACTAAGTAAGGAGTACCTACCCCAATATTCAACTATGTAAGGAGTACCTACCCCAATCTTGTTCGACATCTCAGTTCTATCTCTATGAAAGTCGACAGTTGAGAAGTATCTAAAAATAAGAGTTTGATGACTTAGCTAATTTAAATTTGTAGCCTAAGGTTTATCATTTGTAATGATTCAATGAATTACTCAGTCATTAATCCTTTCAAGACATGAAGTTTGTGCTCAGAGATTAAATTAATTCTATGATTTTATGATCTGGCCTGTCACCAATACTCTATTGTACCATGAGCTAGCAGTTTTATTCCTGGATAATTAAATGCTTATGATTATGTTTTATCCCTCCTCATCACTCAATGCATTAATAAATTGTATGCTCTTTTAGTATCATATGCATTAATTTTCATTCACCTTTTTGTTGTGTTATCAATAAATCATATTAAATTTATTTTAATTATTTTTTGTTTTATTTGGGTTAGTAAATAACAGTTCTTTCAGATAAATGATTAAATTCTAGTTCACTGGGAAGTCTGATTATTTAACTAAACAGACCTTTTCACTATTAAGTCTTATTAGGTATAGTTATTTTTACTTCCGTAATTCATTATTGTGTTTTCTTACTTTTGGTTGTTTTTTTGTTCCATAAAATTTAGCTGTCTACAGTCGTATAATGTAGTTGGCTACAAATCCAAATTATAATCTATAATTTAAGTGTGCACAGTCTCAAAAGTTACCTGTTCTCTTTTCCAAAGTTTACTATTTTCATTGTAAAAATCAAATGATACTTATTCAAAAACCTATTAAAAGGCTACACTCAAGATTAGTTAATGTGGGCAGTATTGGTTAAGTTAGTGTTGAAAGCAACCTTGGTTACTGTTAATGGTTTAAAGCTATTCATTTTCATTCTTTCATTTTCATTCTTCCATTATCATTCTTCCATTTTCATTCTTCCATTTTCATTCTTCCATTTTCATTTTTCCGATTTCATTCTTTCATTTTCATTCGTTCATTCTGTTTCTTCTATTTTCATTTTTCCGATTTCTTTCTTCCATTTTCATTCTTCCATTTTCATTCTTCCAATTTTCATTCTTCCATTTTTCCATCCTTCCATTTTCATCCTTCCATTTTCATTCTTCCATTTTCATTCTTCCATTTTCATTCTTCCATTTTTAAATTTTTTATTTTTTATTTTCTTTTCATTCTTTAATTTCATTAATTTCTCAAACTCTAATGCTTGCTGTCCAAATGGGCAAGGTTAAATTTAGTGCGTTCAGTATCAACTAAGTTAAGAGGCTCAATAATTTTAATGGTTACAGTCTCGTTAAACAAATACTAGTAAGGAGGGCAGTGTAATTAGTAAATTGATTACAGTCTCAAAGGTTTGGTTATCATTCCCAAATTACAAAATCTAATTAAATTATTGGTTACAGGTTCCAATAGTTACATTCTTATAATGTTAATTTTCACAATCCTTCATACTATGGTTTTGACCGAAGTTATACTTTCAGAGACCGGCACTCATTTTTCACTGTTAGCACTCTCTTCTAGGCCCAATGGGTAAAACCAGAAACAGGAAAAAGGCAGCAGCTTTTGTCCCTAACCTTCCTCAGGTGGACAATAAATGGCTGAGAGCCATTCACTGGAATGCCAATGGTATCCTAAGGGATACTAAAATTGAACTCCTAGCGGATGTGCTAGTGGAGGAGGATATTGATATTTGTTTCATTGATGAGTCCCATCTAGTCCATGGTACTAATGACAACTTGTCCTGCTTAAACCAATTTACTGTGTATACAAAGGAAAGAGCCTTTGGTAGTAAGAAAGGGGGAGGTAAAATGATAATCCTAAAACAGGAACTGAACCATACTAGATGGGATCCGGGACTGGTTATGTTCCCTTACTTAGACGCGGAGCGTTCATGGATTTTGGTTCATGAAAATGGCAGAAATTTAGCGTTCTGTTCTGTTTACTGTGCTGCTGAGGTAACAAACGATCAGTACAAGGTTTGGAACTCAGAACTTTATACTATGATACAACAGGAAATGGCCACCATCCAGCAGGAAGGATTTGATTGCATTATTCTAGGGGACCTAAATGGTCACATAGGGAATGACGCTAGAGGCATTGAGGATAATGCACCAGACATTAACTATAACGGAACCTTACTGAGAGACTTCATAAGTAACACTAACCTGGTGCTGTTGAATGCAGATAAAACCAGATGCTCAGGGGTCTTCACAAGAAGAACCATGAACTCTACTTCCTGCTTGGACTATGTACTTGCAGACGCTGGGGCTAATGAATCCATTGTTAGTTTGACGGTGGATTTGGATAAAGAGGTATTATGGGGGAGCGACCACTCCTCCTTACTTCTGGAGTTAAACATGGGTATTATTCAAAGAATTCCCCATCCAGACGCATATTCACGTGCCCACAATCCTTCGGCAAAGACAGCATCCACATATGCGTCCACATTAGATAGGCTTCTTATTGAAAATTCATGGTCATCCCTAAATACGGATGAAAAATGCGACCTTTTCCAAACGTCAGCTGTGGAAGCGGCTGCCCTCGCAGACCAAAATGTGAAAATCATCAATTCCAAAAGATTTTCCACGTGCAAATCAATCCGGAAACTACGAACCCGTTGTATAAAAGTAGAGGCAAGTATCTCTAAGAAGGAAAGGTGGGCGGTATCGCATAACATAGATCCCAACATAGCTTTCCCAAACATCCAGCTAGACAGGGATAGGGCAAAAACTCTAAAAATCCGATTCAAAGAACAGGTTCGGCAAAGAAGAGCAGACAAAAGACTAAAACTACAGTTAACAGTAAAAATCAATTCTAAACAGTTCTGGGCATTGGTTAAAAGGTCAGAGAGAAAAAAGGGCAGTTTATCAGCAATAAAAGACGAACATGGCAACCTGCTTACTAATAAAGATTTAGTTGAAAAAATAGTTCTCGAGCAACTTTCTCTCATCTTCTCAGGAAAGAAATCCACTGTCTTCTCTCATAGAAATGAACAGTTAATCAAAGAGGTCCAGGCCAAATCTAATAGTTCTTGGCATGACTGGATAATCCCAGAAAATGATGAGAATATGTACGAGCCAGAGGTATGTGCTCCGGTATCAGTTCTCCTCGTAAAGGATTGCATTGACAAACTCAAAATCAACCGTGCACCAGGAGTTGATAACGTAACTTCCTCCATGCTCAAACTCGCAGGGCCAGAAGCCCTCAACTGCCTTACTTCATTGATTAACGGTATTCTTAATGAAGGTCAGGTTCCAGAGGTCCTCAACACAGGTAAAATGACCCTAATTGACAAAAAGAAACCTTCCCTGCAAGTCTCAGGAAAACGACCGTTAACGGTATCCAGCGTGATTCTGAACTTGGTCACCAAAATAATTCATTCACGCATGGACAAAATTTGTGAGACAGAAGGATTCTACGGGACGACCCAATTCGGGTTTAGGAAGGGAAGGTCAACCTCAGACTGTGTTTTCATTCTCCTGGCTGCTATCAGGCGTGCAAAAAAACGAAACCACACTGTTTCCCTAGCTTTTTGTGACATTGCTAAAGCGTACGATTCTGTTAATCGAGAACTTCTCTACCTAAAACTTGATTCCCTGGGGTTTGGGGGAAAGGTTAAGCAGATTATACAGTCAATGTATTACAATGACAATGTGAGAGTTAGATTATGCGGAGGTTTGTCAAATCCTCTGTGGTTCACGAGAGGTGTTAAACAAGGATGCGTTTTGTCTCCGTTGCTGTTTTCTCTTTATGTTTCTGGTCTTGGTAAAGTTTTACACTCTATGAAAGAGGGTGTTCACTTTAGTGGCATGACTATTTCCGCCCTCTTTTTTGCTGATGATCTGGTTCTTATCTCAAGGACCAAAAGAAGAGGTATGAATAGACTCCTTAGAGCTGTACAAAAATACTGTACTGAAATGGACATGAAGCTTGCGGTGGAGAAAACCGTGATTCTCTCCTATGGCTCTAATCAGAATAGCTGGAGGGTTAGCGACTCAGGCCCAGATATAGAGGCTGCTCTAGTAGCAAAATACCTTGGTGTTGACATTAGTGTCCAAGGACGGAATCTAATTAAACCTAGAGAGTCCGTTATGATTGGGTCCGCCCGCGCTTACGCTCATACCATCATGGGATGCACCCGTTGGGGCCTGGATAGGTCCCTTACAGCTTATAAACTGTGGGAGTGTTGCGCAATTCCCCAGTTCCTGTATGGATCAGAAGCGATGGTAATTTCCAAGTCTACAGTTAGGGAATTGGAGAAAATCCAACACTCCGTGGCTTCCTTCATCCTACAGCTTCCTCAATCCTCATCCCAGGTTATGGGATGGATGGAGGCGGGGCTGAAACCCATCCAGATGCGTCTGGACGAAAGAGCACTATTGTTTGCTCACCGTCTCATATCAAAGGAAAATGACATACTTCTAAAAACAGTAGCACAAACTACTATGTCTGATACTATGGACCAATGGACTAGACGTATTGAGTCCTTACTCATTGAGCTGGGTACCCCAGATCTCACCCAGATCTCTAGGGCTTCCTTGAAAAAACGGATTCAGTCAAACCAGATTATCAAACTCCAGATGACTAAGCAGTCACACTCATCACTGAAATGGCTATCAGAACCAAACAAATGGTTCAAACCAAATCCTCAAGTAAATGACTCCAAAGAGTGTGCCGCCTTAAACCAGTTCAAAGTAAACCATGGAGTTTAGCATCTAAACCTAGATATTTATCATCAAACCCTTGAAATTCATCATCTAAACCATGGATCCAAAGTCAACTAATCAAGATTTTAAGTTCTGTCATTCTGTGGAAGGTTGGGCCGGATACATCATCCAGGATATCTAGAGAAACTAAAGAACAATGTCTACTCAGGTAACCTCAGACAATAATAAATATTTCTGCACTAAAAAAGAGAATTTTTTCATTTGTTCCTCATTTGTTTAATAAAATACAAAGAACGTTTTATAATTTTTTTTCTCCTTTTTTAATCTAAATTTTGTAAGCATAGCGCAGAAACTACCATTTAGAGGCGTTTTAGACCAAATATTGTTTTTATGACCCCCAAAATGCGGCAAAATAATAAGGGTCGTACTTCTCCATATTTGTCCTAACATAGTCGTGCTAGAATATATTGAACTGTCAAATATCTGTGAAATCAGGACTGAAACCTGAATTTCTCCAAATTTTAAATGTGGATTTACTCAGGATTCCCTCGGTCCCGGAATTTGATGTTTCGATTTCAGGTTGACCCACTCTTTAGCATAGAATTAATTTCATCTCTGAGCATTAACTTTATGCATTGAACAGATTGAGCCTCACTGTGATGAATTATGCATATTTTATATGGAAAATAAAATATTCCGAATATAAAAATAAATTTTAAAAAACCAAATCACTAGAATTTACCTGTAGAAAAATATTCTATTGGGAAGAGAATGTTTAACTTCTCTATATTTACATAAAGCTCGGAGAAACATCACCTAAAATTATCTTATTCAATTTTGATGGAATTTATCACACCTAATATTTCTCATTGTAGGGTGATTAAGTGACTTTATCGCCCTACAAACAGGGCAAAAAAGTATTTTTTTCACCCTGCTATTAAAATTTAAAATTTCATACATAATTTGTCTCATTGTAGGGTGATAAAGTTACTTAATAACCCTACAACAGTAATTTTATCGACCTGCGTTTAAATAATTTTAGTAAAACTGAACAAAAAAATATATGTTATTGAAATGGGTATCATGCGTGCTAAATAAAAATACTTTCATTCTGATCTTAAACAAACTAGAAAAATTTGATCTTAAACAAACTAGAAAAAATAAAAATCCCGGCAAAAACTTTTTCGCACTTAATAATACCCATTACAATGACATAAATAGATATCACCGCCCTTTGACTAACATTGCCGACCTATGATACCCCCAACAGAGGGACGTTAAGTTGCCTAACATCCCTTGGGACAATTAAGTAAAATAAAGACCTGTTCTGCGAAGTTTTTGTTTAAAAAGTTGAGCATTTACATCACAAAAGACGATAGAGTTGTATAGAACTACTTTTTCAGGAAATAAAAAATTATACTTATCCACGGGTTCCCCCGCGGCCAATTTTGCTTAAGTAAAATTCTCATATTTCATAAATAAATAATTTTTTACTTACTACTACTTTAACTTCCCTGTAGTTGTAAAAAATTAAAAATTAAAATTTTCTTAAAATTATTTTGATATTTATGATAAATAGTCTAGTTTAATCAATAATACTATAAAATTACTTATCCCAATAATTTTTATTCTTATCCAATATTAAAGTAAGAAGTACCTACCCTAATATTTAAGCAAGTAAGGAGTACCTATCCCAATTAGGATACAGAATATCAAGGGAACCATGGATATAGCAGGAATATTTTCCATCTTCCTATGCTTCTTCAATATTTTTTTTTTTGGGGGGGGGGGAAAGGATGCACCATCTTTGATTTTTTATTGAAAGAAAACCCTTGGAAACATAAACCTTGGATAAAGGGTATAAAAACCAGATATATATAATGGGGGGATTTAGATCTTGTTATTAGATATTAAATGCATATACAGATTACAAGACACAGAAAAAGATGTGTATGCTACAAGACCAGGTGCTCTGTCAGCGTAATTTCGAGTGACCATCCATGCACTTAAAATTACGCTTACAGTTCCTTTAAAAGATTTAAATGATTCAGAGTAAAGTGAGTAAAAAGAAAGGAAATGGCGATGCTTCTCAACACTCACCCAACCACCATGGCCCCCTTAAATGGGATCTCCAAGGCCCAAGGTTCAGCACCGATCTTACAAGCCATCTGAGTCACAACCTTAGTCGCCATATAAAGATATCCCTTCTCTTTGTTCAGAACCCGATTCACCGTAATAACCTGACAAATAAATTTTTTAACTTNAGGTTCCCGTATAATACAATCAATCTAGAAACATTCTTCTATTAGATTCCCGTTCAATACTAAATGTTCCCTCCCGATCATTTCTACAGCAGCCGGGACAACTCTTAATCGAGTCGGGAATGGGATAAAGAAGGAAAATAATGAGGTCACTAGGGATGTAAATTATAATTATCTACCTGACTAGGCACTGGCTGCTCTACACAACACTTCTTCTTAATCGCTGCATACTGATCTCCCTTATCATTGGGAACTACGCACATTACCTACATGGTAATTCAGATTTTAAACCAGTGACCGATTTAATGAATTGGAGAGGTCGCTGAACTCGGTTCAAATCCTCATTAATCTTCAACTTTGAATGCGTGAATCAGGGGTTTGAACCAACGTCAGGTACTTCAGCGACCTCTCTTTTATTAATGAAAGGGATATGTAATAGGTCAACCTGGGTTAACTAGGTATTCCAGTTATCCTAGGTTACTAGGTTTATTTAATTGTCACATAAAGAAATAAGCAGTGTCGCTTCTCATAGACGATCAATCATACATTGGAATAATAATGTTTAAAGTCCAGCCATGACAAAAAGGTGGTCTGCCAGGACAATGAAGTGGTCTGCCGGGACAATAAAGTGGTCAGTCGGGACAATAAAGTGGTCAGCCGGGACAAGATCGTAGTCCCTGATTAAAAACCCTTAAAACCAGCCGAGGTGTTGCATCTTTGACATTTTTCGATATCTCAATAAATAATGGTGTTAGCCGGTTCTACTTTTCCTGTTCCTAGAATATCAGATTAGTATACACGTAAAACCAGAACCGGCTAACACCATTATTGACAGAAAAACTCATAGAATTTTAAAAATGTGTGGAAAATATTTTTTTGGACGCCCTGTAGGGGATGATGTACAAGTGCAGTTTTTTTTAAACCCGACTTTTCTGAAAAAGATTCATAGTAGTTTAAGAAACATTTCATTACCCTTTTCTTTCGTCATTTTTAATAGGAAATCCCCCCAAAAAAAAACATTTAAAAAAAGAGAAAAAACAGTTTTTTAACACCCTGTCTTAGCATGATAGAACGAAAAAAAATTAATTTATTTTTTTATTAAATTATATAGGTCCTTAGGTGTATGTGTTTTGAATTTGGGCTCTGTAAATTCATTGGGGCCGGAGATAAAAAGTCGGAGCCACGGAGGTACCAAACGGAGATATTGAAGATTTGACGTCATATCCTGTTCATAGAGCATCAGCAGAGAAAAATTGCAAAAGTAGAACCGGCTATCACCATTATTTGAGATATTGAAAAATGTCATATATGTAAAACCTCCTTTGGGATTGAAAAACAAGCAGGAAAACAATATGGTTTAAAAGTTTCGACTGGGGTCGTAATTCCTTGAACCCATCTGTAAATTCCCATCTTAGACCTAACTCTGACGACAGCTTGTGTCACGTGATATTAGAAAATAAGGCTCGATCTTGAGTCTTGTTCTCATCAAAACCCGGAAATCGACAATTTCAACCATGAAAACACGCCAAATACAATATTAAATCGTTTTTGCAAAATTAGATGCAACTTAAACCCGAAAGCCTAAGCTGTAAATAAGGCCCAACGGCAGCTTAGACCTGAGTCGTATTTTCCTGAATCTTTTATCACGGGCCTTGAATTTCAAGCAAAAGTAAAAATTCCAGCCATAAGAAAACCTATTTTTTCGTCAGTTTGAAGATTTATTACCATCTCTGGACCATCTTGAATAACTTTGGTTAGTTCTCTCACATATTCTCCAGCTCGGTTCCCGTTCAATACAATCAATCTAGAAACATTCTTCTATAAGGTTCCCGTTCAATACTTTCAATCTAGAAACATTCTTCCATTAGGATCCCGTATAATACAATCAATCTAGAAACATTCTTCTTTTAGCATCCCGAATAATACAATCAATCTAGAAACATTCTTCTATAAGGTTCCCGTTCAATACTTTCAATCTAGAAACATTATTCTATTAGGTTTCCATTCAGTACAATCAATCTAGAAAAATTCTTCTATTCGGTTTCCATTCAGTACAATCAATCTAGAAACAGACTTCTATTAGGTTTCCGTTCAATACAATCAATCTAGAAACATTATTCTATTAGGTTCCCGTTCAATACAATCAATCTAGAAACATGCTTCTATTAGGTTCCCGTATAATACAATCAATCTAGAAACATATTCTTCTATTAGGATCCCGTATAATACAATCAATCAAGAAACCTTAATCTATAAGGTTCCCGTTCAATACAATCAATCTAGAGACATTCGTCTATTAGGTTCCCGTATAATACAATCAATCTAGAAACATTCTTCTATCAGGATCCCGTATAATACAATCAATCTAGAAACATTAATCTATAAGGTTCCCGTTCAATACTATTTGTCTATAAATTACAGATCTGAAAATATAACTTTAATTTGTTGAACTATGTTTGTAGTAATTTAGAAAAGGTTTAATTCTAGTACCTTGGTTCTCCTAAATTGATTCCCAAACCTGGAGCAACCTTTCTCATGGTGTCAAGAAACCCAAGACATTTCTCTTCATCCCGCTCAGGATACATTAATATCCTAGCAGAGTACAATTAGTTTATTGAATTTTGCGGAAGCTTTTTGTAAAATGTATATAATTGATGTAAGGAAAGATTTCTGTCATTCAATTTCAGTCAAATAAACATCCGGATACAATAGACACACACAAACTAATGTATCCCTCCTTACCAGCGGTTAATCTGTGCAGGATTGAAGAGTCCTTTCTGAAGTTCTCTCGTCCAATCTGCCTCTGAACTACAGTACGAGGTCCGGTTTATCAGTGTGATCGTCTCAGGGGGCAATATTCGTCCTATTATCAGGCAATCAATCAATCAGGAAAATCTGAAGAAGATCCGAAAGGAAACCTCCAGATCATTATTTGCAATAAAATTATCCTCATAACAAACGTATAAACATACCTTTGAGTTCAAGAAGCTTTGGAGCAAACTTCATGTTCCAGGCTTCCAGCTCTTTCCTCACCTCCTCCACATTATGGAGCTTGTCGGAGAGTTTCATCAAGGTTCCAACCCTCTCAGTCGGTATCATTCGAGTCCACTATATTCAGACAAGTTTTTAGAAATTAGGATTAGGATTAGTTATAAAAGAGTTCCAATGATGTCTGACACTTTCAGATTGCATTGACAACCCGGAGCGGAAAAATGGCGAAGCAAAACTGTTTTGAGCATTTACGTTCTTGTTTAAACTACAAAAAACATGACATTTTTTCTATTTTATAGATGAAACGTTGTATTGACATTTTTCTGGCTTCAAACATAAAAAACTCAGTGATGTTAACAAAACAAAATTTATATATAGGTTATATTTGATACCAATCCATCTAAATAAAGATTCTAGTTAGAGACTGATGACTAAATTTCAAATGACCCTAAATTGTCCGATTCACAATGGTAACGTTTTAGCCATTTATCGTATAAACGATGAGGAAGATATTGTCGTTTGTCTATTGAAATGATATTAATTTTCTTATTTTATTTCCCTTTCGGTGCTTGATAAATCCACTTGAGTACCTTTTACAGAAAATTGCAACTAAAAAAAATCAGTTTTAATTGCGGCCGGAGGATCACTTGAAATTACATCACCAAGCTTTTTGAGGAACAAAGAAATTTAGAAAAATAACCTTTGACAGACATGAAGTGAGTCTAAAATCTGATCTCTGTTCATCGGTTAGTCCGGTCATGAAGCATAGCTCCGGGATTAGAAGTATAGGTCCAGATCTACCTCCTCGTCTATCCTTATCTTTAGGTCGGCTCACTAGGAGAGGCTGGGCATGATCCCGGATTATACAATTGTATCTTTCCTGAAAAAAAAAAAACAATATAAGAGAAAGGATAGATAACTTAAAGAGGGGGGGGGGGGTAATTTTCTTTTGCTTTCAAACTCAACCATAATCTAGAAACTTCAGTATGCATTGCACGACGCACGTGTCACAGAATGTATCAAAAACGTTTTGGAATTGTTTTATTTTTGATAGCGTTTTTCTTTCTTAGATTGTTTAAATAAAAAAGGCTGCAAAGAACAACCAATTTCAAACTCGTGAAAACGGGCCCAAATTCCTTGTGGTAACACGACCTTAGAGAGTTTAAAGATGGGTGAAATTAAAAAATGTCGCCTGGAGAATATGTACACTTTAACGATTTTCGAAAATCCGCGACATTTTTTTTATTATAGTACGAAGAAAATCTCAAATTGTTCCTAAAAAACCTAGCATGAGAAAATGTTGTAACCTGGTAGTAACTATAGTACGGTTTATTACTGCCACCACAGTCAAATATAGAATCAGGATTAAGTGTCCAGTCTATTCCATCTATTCTATACGTTTTCTTATTATACCTAAAATACGTAAACACACGAATTAAATGTAAATGCAGGGAGAGGTTGGAGCGATATAAGAATATATAATTAAGAAATAAAATTGGAAAAGAACATTTTTAATGGTATAAAAAAAGAATTAGAAGGGGAAAAAAACTTTAAAAATAGTTTCCCACCTCGTCATTACAACTGAGCCCAATAAAGCTCGCTCCACTGCCTGTCTATAGTTCGGCGGTCGCCGATTGTAGATAATTCCCATCTGCTCATAAACTGTATCCGTTCTTATAATCTTATTCGTTACTTCAGCGCACATTAGGATACTTTTCTCATGTTGCCTAAACATTAGGATACTTTTCTCATGTTGCCTAAACATTAGGATACTTTTCTCATGTTGCCTAAACATTAGGATACTTTTCTCATGTTGTCTAAAAATTAGGATACTTTTCTTATGTTGCCTAAACATTAGGATACTTTTCTCATGTTGCCTAAAGATTAGGATATTTTTCTCATGTTGCCTAAAAATTAGGATACTTTTCTCATGTTGGCTAAACATTAGGATACTTTTCTCATGTTGCCTAAAAATTAGGATACTTTTCTCATGTTGCCTAAACATTAGGATACTTTTCTCATGTTGCCTAAACATTAGGATAGTTTTATCATGTTGTCTAAAAATTAGGATAGTTTTCTCATGTTGCCTAAAGATTAGGATAGTTTTCTCATGTTGTCTAAAAATTAGGATAGTTTTCTCATGTAGCCTAAAGATTAGGATAGTTTTCTCATGTTGCCTAAACATAGGATAATACTGGACGTGTACACATTGAGGTTTATCTTTCCTTTTTTATAATTACGACGAATAGCAATTTTGAATTTTAGCAATAAATTTGAAAAAAAATCTAATCAATCCTTATCCTTATCAAGCCTACTAGGTTAGATCTATGTTTACTAATATACCTGATAGATGATATAACCTTATCTTATCTATACACAACCTAATAGGTTATCCTTATCCTATCTAAACACAACATACTAGATTACCCTTATCTTAACTATACACAACCTACTATGTTAGATCTAGGTCTATTAGTATACCTGATAGTACTTGTATACCTGATGGAGGTGATATATCCCGGCCATATCTCTATAAAATATTCTCTAATAAGACTGGCAGAGTATGGATCAAAGTAGTTCCGTCCTATGAGCTCCAGGTCCAGCTTCTCCATGATTTGTCGCATAATAATAGATAAGAGTTGAAGATAATTACTTGCTGCTTTCGCAACCTCGCCAATCAATCTAAAACGAATATTAAAATTCTTTTTTTTTCTGATTATAAAATATGTAGAATGAGCAATCTTTATGTGAATCAAAAAATGATATTCATGTTTATATCTTAAGAGGTAAATATATTTATGTACTTCTCACCAGAAATAATTTACTCTCCACCCCAAGGTTTAAGAGAAAAAAATATGATTATTTGGAGAAAACATCTTGAGATTGAGTTGGGATTTATTTACTTATCTCGTAATATAAAAGGATCTCTGCATCACTTGATATTTCAAAATCAAGCCTCAATCTCAAAATATCCCGCCTCAACCCTTGAGCATTGACATTGAGCAGATACTTAGTTATTTTGTATCAGGTGTAGTGTTACATCCGGACCGGGGTAATATTTAGCCCGGGTGCAATACAAAGACGGTATTAGAACACATTAAAAATTTTAGTCTGCAAATGAGTGGAAAACATGCCTAATAATGTACATAATGTGTGTTGTTATTTAAAGTGACACCGGGCTATAAAGTTGCGAACCCAGTGAATCTGCACCCTACGGACTGTATCAGTCCAAGAAGTTAGTAAATGAATTTTTCCCTCTTTTTATAGGAAGATTTTTCCCTGATAAGAGAAAAAAAAATACATAAAGACAATTGTTTTATTTGTGCCGCTTAAAATTTTTCTTCCGATTCTACAAAAACTTATTTTTCAGTATCAGGGGGAGGGGGAAGTGTCAGGGAAAATAAACATCCCTAATAAAATTTGTTCAGACCTGATCGTAATCCTACATGAATCCTGACTTCCATCTCCGTTAAGACGAGTTGAGTGGAGGACTAGGGGATCGGAGTTAGCCGGATATAGTTCTATAAAACAGAACATCCAGGTTCCATCAAACATATAATGGGGTAGCAGATCCTGGTTCTGTCGGAGTAACGCTTTCTTGACGAAAGTACGATCCTCCTCTAGTGAGAAGATGACTCGATACTGAAAAAGTCGAATATCAGGTCGACGTTCAAGCTCAAAATAGTTCGAAGTGAGAAGGATTGGGGTTCCGGAATCACCAAGTTTTGAGACCAGGTGAGTAGGTCGGGTATGTGCAGTATCGAACTCTGGATCCTTTTTTCTTCTCTGATCGGAGCGTCCTCTACCCGTCGCTCCTCCCCTGCCTCGTCCTCGAAATCCATCTCCGACAGTCATTTTATCAAAATTTTTCTCCATTCCATGAAAATTTCCCCGATCCATTCTTCCTCCTCGAGTGGAGGGAAACCTCCGATCCTCTCTCCGACGAGGTTCATCCTCATCTTCAACTTCATGCTGAGTTAATCTCCGGGAATCCCTTCCCTGGTAAACCGTAATTTTCAGGTTATCTTTCATTCGTTCAGATTGTGTCGTCAAATCATTGTTTGTATGTTCTCTTGTAAACCCTTCTGCCTGGTGGTGAGTTCGGTGTCTTCCACCTTTTCCAGGTTTTTGATCAGATTGCTCTCGTCTCAATTCATGTCTTTGTATAGATCGTCCCTCATGACGAAAATCCGCTGACGTTTCAGCTCCTGGACGATTGTGACGAGAAAGAATATCTCTGTCCTGCGCTGGTGTTTGACGAGTTTTCAGTTCACATCGTCCATCAGAATAATTAGCCGACTTACGTTCCCGGTCGTTTCTTCTCTCAGTAATATATCCGTCTCTCTCAGGTCTCTGATCTCTCCGTCTACTGAGAAGGTCAGGTTCTCTATTACTCTCTTCAGGTTGAGCTCTGATTAAAGATTTCTTAGCTGAGGGTCCCCGTCCTAAGGGTTTAGGTTTCTCTTCTTCTGATTTAGGTTTACCACGAGCTCTACCTCGTGCTCGTCCTTCAATACTAACCTCCATTCTTCAGGAGGGTTAAATCATATCACGGAGATATTTGTCAACATTTTAAATCAAGTTTTCTGAAAGTATTAGGACTCAACTAAATTTCAAAAGAATTTCGAATTTATTTTATAAACTAAATCTTAATAATTTACGATACAATTACATACTTCTTAAAACGAAATTATTCAGAAACAATACAAAAAAAATTAAACTTCCTTTTTTAAAACATTTTGTTAGAAAAGAGTTAGATGAGAATCTAATATTTTATACATACATACAAGGACTTTATCACAAGATAGATTTTAATCACAATAAAATACTTAAAAGTTAAAACGAACAAAACTTTATAAAAATCCAGGAGTGTAAATTTTTCAGAATTATCTGGCGCAAGCATTTATATCTTTTCAAAGCAGGGGGGAGGGGGGAGGAGAAAAAAAATATACACCCCTGAAGACAAAGATCGATGGTAATAAATGTATACATGTTATTTGTTAATTCAAGGCAACTGAGAAAATAATTAGTGTTAAAGACTAGCAGGTGAACATATCTTGTTTGCATAAATGGTCCAAACTGCTTATTATCTAGTATTTAGTAACTTTCCCCAGATGTTAGCTGGGTCGTGGGTAAAAAATAAACTGAAAGGAACATAGAATAAAAAATAACATTACTAAATACGCAACAAGGATTTTAAGCAAACTTACAAAATTTTATTTTAAGGGGTGGGGAGGTTTTTTAAGCTTAGAGATTTCAGCCTTCCATTGAGTTACCAGGTTGGTTTCTTAAATATAAAAATGTATTCTCTTTATTTACAGACCGGACCATTCTCCGTGTACTTAGTTGATATATTCAGCTTCTCAGCAGCAGCATGTATAGTGTACTCGGTGACCCCAAGGTCAGCTAGGTCCTGCTGACGGTCAGATAAGCAGCTTAGCAGTTTCTCTATCAGCTGACTTCCTACGAATAAACCTGTTAGAATCCGCTCAAAAACTACAAAATAAAAAATATTAGATTACTAGAAATTCAAGGCGCTTCGCGCCCTTCTTTCTAGGCTTTTAAGGCGCTTCGCGCCCATCTTATATTTAAAATGTGAACATGTTCTTTTTGTTTACATTTTAAAACAAAGAAGAAAAAATTTTTGCGGATTTTTAAAAAAAAATTCGCGGCTTTTCAAGAATTAATTTTTTTTTTTACAAAATTAAAAACCTTTAAACACATTTTTTTAAAATTTTTATCATTCATAAACTTTCCCTGTGGTCACGTGATGTCCCACAAAAAATTTGGGCCCGATCGGTTCAGCCGTTTTGACGTTTATTGGATACAAACAGACAGACAAACAAACAAACACCCAAGCCAAATTTATATATACATAGTTTAACTAAACGTCAACGCAAGTTTAGTTAGGTGACTGTTAACTTCAAGGTTACTAATACTATTATTTAATGGTTCACAAGAGTTATCCTAGCACATTTTTTAAGAAGGGATCATGTCGCAAAAACCGCGGCTTTTCTAGAATACGACTCGTGGATTAAAATATGGCATATGATCTGTCTCAACCCTTTCTGAAAACCAACAACATCAATGCGATTTGTTTTCAAATAAAGGTTTAGAGAAACTGCTGTGACCTGTAAATTGATTTGAGCGTTCAATTAAAATTAAAATAACCATCTTGCTCAGTATACAAGATTTACAATGTACAATCTACATTCTACAACGATAAGAAGAACTCATTTATTCAATATCTATCATTATAGGACAAATCAGAAACCTAAACATGAATTTACCAGCGCTACGGTCTATGGAAGAAAGGAATTGAACGCTTAAGCTAAATCGTCTTGAATTTGTCACGGCACCTGAAATAAAAAAAAAATCAATAATGAACTTGAGAGGAATGGGTTTCTTTAAATAGGTCTTTCGCTCAAAAATTGGTATCATCATCTTAAAAAGCTGTGAATAATAAAGTTTAGGAAGATCGTGAAAATTAAAACTTCTAGCAATTTTTTAACCATGCAACGTTCTTGTGAATCAAGGTACTAATGCAAGGAAAGTTAATTGCAGTTGCGTATACTCTGCGTACATATTGAAACCAGTTCTTTCTGGGCGGAATTTGTAAACAAGAATAGATGCCTAAGTGTTCGTTTAGTATTCGAGGAGGTTAAAAGCATTGAATTTTGATAATTTTGATAATTCACATAATAGTTTCCTATGACCAGAATATTTCATGTATTATTTATGTGAAAGATGGATCCCATTTCAGGCTTCGACATCCGTCTTGTGTTTACATTACCGCCCACTGACAGTACACTGCAGTACAAAAGATGCGTACACCTCTGAAATAACTTTCCTTGCATTAAATCCTTGTTGTGAATCATCGCTTTGACATACATTGGCGATGATAATTCTCTAAAATTTAATTTATAAATCATACTTGATAGGTTTTATTTTAAAAATAAACAAAATCGAGGTGATTAAATTTGAAAAAAAAATCTTACTTAAAGTTTTAACAATGGCGGCTATATCTTGAGTTGTAGGACGGAAGGCAAGGAAGGAGTGGAGCATCTCTCCCAATAGTTCTGGAGGAATCTCTGTCTGAAATATCCGTCCTACGTTATCCTCTCCTAGCTCTGAGATAAAATCTATCCGTTCTTCTATCTCCAGATATCTCCAGAGTGAGTAGAACTCGTCAATATTTTTTACCGATGATTTAACAAGGTGTCCGGGTTTCTCTTGCAAGGCTGTGTTTACTGTTTCGGCGCTGGACTTCTTTCCGGCAAGAGAGATAGAGTTCCATATACTAGGTTTACTTTTAGGATTAGGAGACTTGTCTTTCTTATCCAAACTTTTTAAATGCGATGTTTTCACAATATCCTCAAACTGTTCGTAAGTTACATTTTGTGCCACAGCTCTGAACTTGGCATCATTCTCCCTCCAATACTTCTCATCTGAGACGAGAACCCGGCTCATCTCTCTCTCCAGGTTCTCTAGTTCATGTATACTTGACATCTGAAATATGGAGAAACTAACATATCATGCTGGTGGAGACAGAACAACTTTAAATTCATCTTATATTAGAATTTATGACTTTAAAATTATATAACAAATATCTACAACATTATCAAAGGGGTTTGTAGAAGCTCACGTGAACATTTAGGAATTAAAAAAATGAATATTAAATAATTATAATAAAGGGAACATTTTTAATTCTTTTTTACAAAATTAATCCCGTATCCTGGGCGAGCAACACTGGCAGGCCCCATCTGTGGTCTAGGTGGGCCGGCCATAGGAACAGGAGGATAGGACGGAGTTGAAGAATTAAAGATTCCTTCACTGCTGGAGAACCCGAGACCAATTCCTCGGTTACGATGTGTCTGTTGTCTGGCCTGCTCGTAATTTTTCTCCAAATCACTCATAATCTTGACAGCATTCGTTCCCGGGGCATCATCCACCTCTTGGAACTCTTCAGGTTTTGGCGCGGCTTTTATTCCCATCAATCGACGGAATTTCTCCGTCGTCCCCTCGTCTCCAAAGTTTGTTGCTTCCCATTTATTGAATGAAGTTTTAACAGGAGCCGATGCAGGAGCAGTTGGTGCGACAGCTTGGGATACTTTCTCATCATCATCAGTCCCAGGCTTTTTCCAGAGCATTTTCCTCTTCTGAACCTGCTCCGCATAGCTGACCGGGTTTACAGCTCCCGGTCTATAGTATTTAGGCATCTCCACACCCATCTCTTCAACCTTCTTCATCTGATCTTCAACGTTCCTTCTGAATATAACTGCGTATAAAATTACAACTAATTTGATAGAAATAAAACTTGTGTTATTGTTTCGTCAACGTATATCCCTTCATCAATTTTCAGATAAAATATGCAATTATGAAAGATTAGTTCCAAACTTTAAATAAATTGTCATTTAAAAAAGTATTAGAATCTGACCTGTTCTCGTCCCTTCTGTGCCAATCTGATCCTCCTCCTCTCCTATCCCTTCCTCCCCTCCAACCACGGTCATTTCCTCCAGCACGCCTCCAATCCCCTCCATCCCTCCTTCCATCTACTTCGTCCTTCCTCCAACTGTTTCTATCCTTCCCGTCGTGATCTCTCCTATAGTCATCCTTCCTGTCCCTTCCCTTATCTCTGGATCTTGATCTCCTCCTCTCCTTCCCCTTGTCTTTAGATCTTGACCTTCCATTACCTCGAGATCTAGAGCGGGATCTTTTTTTTCGTTCTCCTGATCTAGACCTTGATCTAGTTTTTCTATCCTTCCGTTCTCTGAAAAAAAAATATTAAAATTAAGTTTTTAAAACAAGGTCTCATGTTCCAAAAATGTTAACTTTTTTAATGATAAATGCTTCGCTGAAAGATAACTTTAGGAAGATCTATTCCATAATTTGTACGAGTTTATTTACCTAGATCTAGATCGTTTCTTTTCTTCGTCCTTATACAATTTCGGTTCTTTCTCAATTTTGGCTGGAGTAGGTTTAGGACTTGGAGATTTTCTTCCAAACCCTGGTCTTCCTTTCCTATCCTGATGATATCCAGGATATGTGTTCGGATTCTTATATCCAACTGAAGCTGTGGCAGCAACAGGGCCGTATTCACTGCCTCCGCCATATTCGCTACCTCCGCCGTACTCACTACCCCCCTCTACTCCCTTCTGTCCCGAAAACTGTATTCCCTGCCTGGAACTAGTTTCATCTGAATCTCCTCCATACTCGTTAATCTCCTCCTTAGGTTTGGGTTTACTGGAGAACTGGTTTTTGAAGGCTTTATACTCGTCCTTGCAGGCAAACATCTCGTTGTCCGACCCGTCCGACATATCCATGTTGACATTTTCATAGTTATCCGCCTTCTCTTCCTTGTCCATCGTTCCTCAAACCTAAATATATTCTAGAATTCACACGTTGATCGTTGCCAAGTTCTATACAAGTAAAAGAAACACGGGTGATGAATGATTTTATTTTTTAAGATCTGGGGGGGAAATGGACATCATTTACCCTAAAAAAATAATTTTTTCCCTATTCAGCTAATAAAACCCTAACAAGTGATAACGCTAACATATCTAACTTTAAGGAAAACAAGATTATCAAAAACACTGCGGAGGGGATTTTAATATTCTACTTCTCACTATTCATTAAATTTGGTCCAAGGGCATGTAACGTTAAGCTCGATTACATTCAAAGTGTTACCTAACCCTAAACTGACGTTATTATAACCCTATATGGACCTATCTCAACATAAAGCCTAAACCTAGCTGCTGCTAAAGCGTTCACCAAATTCAAAAAGGGGGGAGGGGGTCCATAATTTGATTTGTTTATGGTGTTATATAAATGACTAAAAATAAAAACAAATGTGTAAAATTTAGTTCCATTATAAATAATTATATTTGAATAAAGCCTGGTGACTTGTAGAATGATCAGAACAGGATGTAGCTCCGTGTTCCAGGTATTGATACCTTACCTTAGTTCTAGATTCATCACGGAGAGAAGGTTCAATCTCTTTGGTAAAACAAAGTATTAATATCATGAATCCAACCAGCTATTTTAACAAGTCAGAAAACAAAAGAAAAACAAAAACAGAAATGAAATAATAGAATAGTTATTTGCAAACAAAAACGCTAAGTTTAACAAGACTAACAGAATAAAGAAGAAATTATTCACCTTGGGTTTGAAACTGATCCTACAGATGTTGAGAAAGGGTTTGTTCCAACTCTCCAACCCTTCCAGGGATCTAATCTCTAAACCTTGCTCAATCTAGTTCCTGTATCTGAAAAGTTCTTTTCATTATTCATTATTCAATATTATACCACATTCTTATCGGATTTACTACATTGCCAAATCAGCAATAATTCTTATTATTGACACCAATTTCGTGCAAATAATTATTATTATTTCAGAAATATCCAAAAAATTCAATAACAATAAAACCCCCTTTTATTTTATAACAAAAGGTAATTTTTATATAAATATTTTATTTATTAACACTATATTATTCAGTACATGTAAGAATTGTCTTTGATAACTCAAAAATCGAAAATGTTCCATTTTCCTAGGAATTGAAGAAAAAAAATGAAAAACCATACTCAGATATTATTTCGCTAATTCTATAACTTGATTTTCCGGGTCCGCCCTTTGCAGATTAAACGATCCTTCGGAGAGTTTGCTTTTTAGTCGCTGAGTCTTTCAAGGCTATACTAGTCTTGCCTGCTGAATCTATCTATGTTTGGCTTTATTTTCATGGCCTAAAATTCAGTCAGACCTCTTGAATAAAATATTTTTTATTAATATGAAAAATATTTATATAAATACCTTTAATTGTTTCGATAAATACCGTCCACTATCTATACCCAGATAAGGGAAAAAATTGAGCATTTTTCCTGTCCCTTATTGAGTGTCAGAACATAGGTGCGAAATTTATACAATTCTTCTCTATTATTACAAAAGTTATTAGAATTTACTGATGGAGACTTGTGAGGTCATTTCAGGTTAAAATTAAAGGTAACAATGTAATTCTGGGAATGTATTCAAATCCTCCAAAAATGTAATATAATATTTCTAAGCGTATTAAAAGAAAGTGTAATAATCAATATTATAAAAATAATTTTGATTATTACGCTTTCTTCCTACCTACTAATATTCCTCTCCTATCCCTTCCTCCCATCCAACCACGGTCATTTCCTCCAGCACGCCTCCAATCCCCTCCATCCCTCCTTCCATCTACTTCGTCCTTCCTCCAACTGTTTCTATCCTTCCCAACAACATCAATGCGATTTGTTTTCAAATAAAGGTTTAGAGAAAATGCTGTGACCTGTAAATTGATTTGAGCGTTCAATTAAAATTAAAATAACCATCTTGCTCAGTATATAAAATTTACAATGTACAATCTACAACGATAAGAAGAAATCATTTATTCAATATCTATCATTATAGGACAAATCAGAAACCTTAACATGAATTTACCAGCGCTACGGTCTATGGAAGAAAGGAATTGAACGCTTAAGCTAAATCGTCTTGAATTTGTCACGGCACCTGAAATAAAAAAAAATCAATAATGAACTTGAGAGGAATGGGTTTCTTTAAACAGGTCTTTCGCTCAAAAATTGGTATCATCATCTTAAAAAGCTGTGAATAATAAAATTTAGGAAGATCATGAAAATTAAAACTTCTAGCAATTTTTTAACCATGCAACGTTCTTGTGAATCAAGGTACTAATGCAAGGAAAGTTAATTGCAGTTGCGTATACTCTGCGTACATATTGAAACCAGTTCTTTCTGGGCGGAATTTGTAAACAAGAATAGATGCCTAAGTGTTCGTTTAGTATTCGAGGAGGTTAAAAGCATTGAATTTTGATAATTTTTATAATTCACATAATAGTTTCCTATGACCAGAATATTTAATT